CCAAAAACTGTTTTTTAAAATTTTTGACCCCTATTTTTAATTTTTTCAAAAAAATTTTTGCAGCACAAATTAGCACAAAATTAGCACAATTTAGCACAAAAATTGATTTTTTGAAAAAATGAAATGGCGTTGCCAACTTCTCGGACGTAAACAATACGGCTGTGCAATTTAGAATTTAGAAATTTATTTAGAAATAAGTTGTATCTAGAAATTTTTTTTGTTTAATGTAATGCAAGCTTGCAACAAGCTTTTTGCAAGTTTGCTTTGTGAATTTTAGATTTATCATAAATATCTTTTTGAAAAAACTTGGCTTGTAAACAAGGTATATGAGATAGAAAAATACACAAATATATAATATATTTGTGTATGTTTCTAATTCTTGTTTCATTTCTCATTTTCTTGCCTTTTCTATTCTAAATTTAAAATATAAAAATCAAACAATTTACTGTACAAGTATTTTTAATGAAATAATAACATTTATGTATATATCACATGTTTTCACAGAAAATTAAAAGGCATTAAAATAAGCGTTGCAGCTTATTTTAATGCCTTTTAATTTTCTGTGTTATGTAAAATAGTAAAAATATACCTAATTAATATCTACACATTTATATATCAGTCTCATTTTTATAAAAATATTATGGTTCGATGGCCATAAGTCGAGTATTTTAACTTGTATGTACAGGCCGAGATAAGTCAGACTGTTGGCCAAATAACTCATTTTTCTGAATGTATCGAAGAAAATTTCATTAAAAACTAAAGTTTATTTTTAAAAGTATTTTACTTAGCAAATGTAAGAACAAAAGCTGTATTATTTTCATATACAAATACTAATATTTACTTTAATTAGCGAAAAGTAAAAGAAATTAAACGCTATTTCATATGTACAACTAAAAACAGTGCTTCTTCTAATGGCCTAAAAATGGTCAAGTCAGTAACAATCTAGCGAGTTATTTGGCTAACGGACTGTTTATTTGCAGGCAAGTATTATAAGAAAATATAAAAATTTAATTCTGTCTACTGGCCGCCTATTAACCGGCAAATTATATATTAGCTACATATTTACAATTACCACGTAAAATAAAAATTTTAAGGCCATGTGGGAAATACCCACGTGAACCCCATGCAAAAAACATGGTATCGTAGTTCCAAGTTTTCTATAAAATAGTAAAGAATTTTTGGTTGAAATTTGGAAAATATGATAGAGAATAGCATTCAGAATTGCGCTGTTCTCGGTTTGAAGCACAATTTTGCGTTTATATTAAGTATTAAAAATAAAAGTTTGGAAATTCCCATTTTTGAACGAAAGTTGAAGTCAACATGGCGGGGGTACACACAGACGTCGCGTGAATGTATCAGTGGTCCAGGAACTAGCGCCAATTCGAGTTAGTGGCCGCTCAAAGAAATAATAAAAACCTATTAACTCCACTATTAATTACTTTTTTAAATTATTTCGCAATTAATTACAGTAAATAAGTAGAACGGCCCAATTCCTTCAACCCTTTTTTATCATTCCTCAAAATTTCAACCCGACATTTCTTCTCATTTCCGAAAATACTTGAAAATACCAAAAAGTGACTTTGTCTCACATGGCCTTAATTCATTAGAAATTACTTTAAATCAAAATTGTTGTGTATTAAAACTTCTGTTAATAAAAAAGTCATTTGATTTTTCCTTATACTGAAAACAGTAAAATCTAGAACCGGGTATTTAATTTATTACAGTCATCGTCACTCATGTCGATGACTATTTTTGCATTTCCATTTAGTGGTGCCAAGCCACTTTCGGGAAATTTTTCAACCTCAAGTTTTTTGAAATTCAACGGAACAACAGTATTATAAACAGTATTATAAATTATAAACAAATTATAATGTAAGTCTCGTTGAAAATTCTTGCAGAAGACTTGCAGCAAACTTGCAAAACTTGAAATGCAAGTCGGCTGCAGACTTGCGTGCTATCTGGAATCTTATTAACTAGAAATGTACACGGAAAGAAAGTTTGTAGCAATATTTGATATTATGGTGTTACTTTTTAGTATATTTGGTTACAATTGCGGAACATTTTGGCATGATAACGATTTTCGATACTATTTTTAAGAATGATTGAGATTAAAATAAGAATATTTAATATAGTTGGAAAGAAAATTTGATATAATATTTACGAAATCTGAAATCTTTTTATTGAAACACAAAAATGTCAAATTTTAATAAGCTCTTTATCAATTTTTCTAACCAAATATTTCAAATTTCGTAATTAGAATTGTATAAAATGATATAATTATTTCAGATTTTGATATATTTGATATGAAAATTGAAAAAGACATATCAAAGTTAACGAGATTCGACGAAATTTGCCGAAGTTGAACGTTCGGCATTGCCCGATCCTCACCGAGTGGTAACGAAGACTGACGAAGCTCTTTAGACAAGCCCCTTTTTACCATTATCTTGATACAGACCTGAATTTCTTTTATATAATTAATTTTGAATATTTTACAATAAATCAGTAAAAAAAATTGTTCTTCAAAAAATAATAAAATATTTAATTATTTCCCAATAAATAATGATTTTTATTTATATTTTTAAACATGTTTTGATATAATTTCACCTTTCTCATAAGCGGTGAAAAATATGTCTGGTTAGTATATAAGAATGGTCACATCAGTTTTTCACATGAGCGTAAATTTGTATATGAAGCGTTATTCTGCGAATGTTATACGTATTATCGTTAGTATAGGTTAGGAATAAAAATAAGCCAATCGATGTAAAACAATGCGGTGTGTGTGTGTGTGTGCATTTAAATGTTCATATCCTCGTCTATCCTCGAGATGAGAAAGAGATAAAACTTTGGCGTAGAATCTATTGGTGTTTCTGTCGTCATCTGTCACGACTGAACCACTTCGAATTTTTAGTACAGTTTTAACAAATTTCGAAATAATCTTTCCAAATTTTCATATAAATTTAGTAAATAACGAAGTGCGCGTCGGTTTAACTTATTTCTGGTTTTTCGTATAAATTTATCAATTTACGAAATAATAATTTCAATGTCTGGAATATATTTACTAAAAAGACTATTGTTAAAAATATACCGATTTTCGTTATCAAACCCAAATGTTCCGCGTTTGAAAAAGAGAATACTAAAATTTCCTATCAGATTTATCAAATATTGCTACTAAATTTCTTTCCGTGTAAGTCATTTAAAACAACTGTAAATATGTTAGATATTATTCTTAAAAATAAAAACTGGCTTTATTGTTTTTATACTTATTATAATAAAAGTTATCTCTTTATAAGAAATTGAAAATTTTATTTTATTTCTAATCAATTTATAATCCTTTCCTTTGTTTCGCAAATTTATAAACAAACGATATATATATATATATATATATATATATATATTAAAATTAATTTTTATTAAAACTTAATTTGCGAAACTATTTTTCAGTTTCCAGGTTATGTTAATGTCTCCATTCTCTTTAATACAAATCAGATAAAACTACTGTAGCAATTAAAATAGCAAAATTAATATTTAATATTAACATTTTAAAATAAATTAACACAAAAACTAATTCACAAGTATTTCTTGCTAAAAACATATTAATTAAAAAATTAAATATGTGTAAGGTCACATAAAATTCAAATTTTTCTAAACAAAAAATAAAAAAAACTACATTTTTTAAACTTATATGCGTTAATAGAAAAGTAATTAAAAATAAGAATTGAAAATGCACGAACAGATTAATTTCTATAAAGACGGTTCCAGAATAGGTGCAAAAGCCAAGTACAAGTGCAAGTGCTATTTTATTATTCTCATTATTTTGTAATAATATTAATATGAAAAATATTTAGTAATAATTACAAAGTTAATTTTTTTTTAAATATTATATTAAATGACCTTGAAACTATTAATTCTTTTTGTAAACTGTTGTATATAGCGACTATATATTAGAGTTAGTATATGTATGTACATGTGTCACTGTATTTGTGACTTTTTTAAAAATAAAAAATAAATACAAACTATGTTAGTGTGAATATCGGACTTAAACAAGCAAACTTGAATTCTTATTTTCTATTGGTTGAAAAATATTTCATTTATTATTTGATTGGTTAAACGACTAAAGAGGGAGTAAATTCCTTTTAAAGAAACTGAGAAAATTTATATAATGCCTCGATCAAGAATAGTACTAGAAGGAAATATCCCGAGGATTGCATTTTGAGTTTGACATTGTCAAAGAACTAATTGAAAAAAATTGTAGATTCATTTAAAAGTTGGAAATGTAATTAATTGCCTCAGGGGCCATTCATAAATGACGTAACGCTTTTTTGAAAATTTTAACCCCCTCCCCCCTAGCTTAAAGAGCTACGTAATTTATGGATAGTCCCTCAGGAAAATCGCTTTATTTTTCATGCTATTGTAAAATAAATTTTATGGTAAAATTTACTTAAATATATTATCTGCTGCTATTTTGTCTTTAAAAAATGCAATAGAACCTTCGAAAATAGAATAATCTAGATGTTTCTTGGTTCTCCATAGAGAAAATGTGTCAAATATTTTATGATTCAGAAATAAAAATTATGATTTGTTTAGAAGAAAAATCAAAATTCCGGATCCTGGTAAATTGAATACTTTTTTACAATAAAAGTTTAAGAAAATGTGTTTTTTTAAACAATTCTAAACCTGAAATTCCCTTTAAAATTTTATTAAGTTTTTAAATTATTTCAAAAAAGCGCTCTCTACTTTGATTTTTCCAATCAGATCAGTTCATCATTCGACCTTTTCAATTCATGTATTTTTTTAGAAAAGAAAAAACGATATTAAAAACACGAAACAACTCCATAAAATAAATTTTATTTCTTTATTTAGAAAAAAATACTAAATTTTATTTAGTTACATAAAATCTCTTCATCTAAAAAGAGAATAGTAATGTTTTCAAACATTAATCTAAAAAATCATATTTTAAAATTACAAATTACAATTAGTGATTGTAACTAACTAAAATTCTAAATAAAGAAGAGACAAGAGTGATAAAAACACATTGGTAAAAAAAGTGATTTAAGATACTTATAATTGAAATATAAAATAAAAAAGCGTGCAGAAAGGTATAAAGAGATTCTCTAAAGTGAAAATCATATTTTTGCAAGCGAATAATCTGAATTCACAAGGCAAAAGGTGAAAATTCTCAGAGCAACTGAGTTTTTCATAAAATAAAAGAAAAAATAGAAAACTTTCCAGAAAAAAAAATAAAAAAACTGCTTGATAAGAACAATAAGCGTATTTGTACCTACATCATTTTGAGTGCATTTTCGTCCAGTTTTGCTCTCCATGTTGTTTTGTTACATGTTGTATGACACTAGGTTGACTCTTGAATTCACAATAGCAGTGATTGCATTTGTAAACATTTGTTTCATTATCTGAAATATAAGAGAAACGTATTTTTATTATTTAAATAAACAGAACAGAACGAATGTTGCTTTCAGGCAACATGTTAACATTTGCAAAACTTTCTTGATTTTTAAAACTAAACATTAAAACAATCTCTCTTCCGTAAGATGTTTTTCATTTAATTTAATAAATTCCAAATTCCAAACTGTGATCTTCAAACAAAAAACTTTAATTATTTCCCCCTAAATAATTTGTTTAAAAATAAAAATTCTATATTTTTTTTTTAAGAAAAAATTTTGTCCCTAAATGGTTAAATAAAAAAAAGTTAAACAATATTTTCAGCAATTTTTGGATCAAGTTTATATGATGATGAATAATAATTTCTAAAGAATGTGTGCGTTATAAGACTATAAAATTGAATTTCCATAAAAGGTACATTTTTATAAGTAAATGATTTGAATTTTCAGAAATTTCATTTCATTAGTTTCTGTTTTAAAGAATTTGATGTTTAAATTCACAAAAATATATACAATGAATACTTTGCACATTTTTATGATAATTAAACTTTGTTGAAAAAATAATGTGCGATTCCAAGTGAGATTTTGACTTTTTCGGAGTAGGTTAACCGATTGCAATGAAACTTTGGAATTTTGTTATATATAGTAAGACTAATCTTTAACGTAAATTTCAGCCTAAAATATTTGTTAGTTTACGAGATTTGCAATAATAACAAAAAATTAAAAACTGCTATATCTTCCGTTCTAATAAACGGATTGAGGTCTACTTTTTTTTAAAATGTCAAGGAAAATGAGAGGAATAAATCTCTTTCAGAACATTTTTTTATAATTTTACAACTAAAAAAATTATTAAATAATAATTGAATAACTTTCGCGCGACTAACTAAAATTCAATCACTTAAACGCTAAAATGATCTTACCTGTGTTTTCTTTAATGTTCCAAAGGATTTTTAGTGTAAATGTAAGTTTAACTTAAGAAATTTTATTAATTTATTAGTATAAACAATTGAGATTTCTGCTAGTTGACGTGCAGACGACATTGCGCACGCAGCATTCTCACATAGCCAATTTAGTCCACGAATCACGTCAGTTGGCTATGTGAGAATGCTGCGTGCGCAATGTCGTCTGCACGTCAACTAGCAGAAATCTCAATTGTTTATACCAATAAATTAATAAAATTTCTTAAGTTAAACTTACATTTACAATAAAAATCCTTTGGAACATTAAAGAAAACACAGGTAAGATCATTTTAGCGTTTAAGTGATTGAATTTTAGTTAGTCGCGCGAAAGTTATTCAATTATTATTTAATAATTTTTTTAGTTGTAAAATTATAAAAAAATGTTCTGAAAGAGATTTATTCCTCTCATTTTCCTTGACATTTTAAAAAAAAGTAGACCTCAATCCGTTTATTAGAACGGAAGATATAGCAGTTTTTAATTTTTTGTTATTATTGCAAATCTCGTAAACTAACAAATATTTTAGGCTGAAATTTACGTTAAAGATTAGTCTTACTATATATAACAAAATTCCAAAGTTGCATTGCAATCGGTTAACCTACTCCGAAAAAGTCAAAATCTCACTTGGAATCGCACTAATATTAAATTTAAATTAAAAAATTCAAATTATAAAACTGGGATAGTTAAAAAAATATCTCACTGTCTTTGACGACGTTAACCCATTCCTCGATCTCGTCATTTATTGGTAAAAATTCGATATTTGGAATTTGATCCATGTGATTTTTAGCACAATGATTTGTCAGCTCGTTCTTGTTTAATGTCACAAATCCACAACTTTTACAATGCCATCTAACGTAAAAATAAAATCATTATTAAATAATAATAAATAAATTTAAATATTTCAAATGAAATAACATATTTCAAATGAAGTGACCAAAAGCTGAAAAAATATTTTCATCAAACTTGAATAATTCGTAGTCTTATTGGAAGGATAGAAATAAATTTAATTTAATATTTAATTCAATTAATGAAATTAAAAAAAATAAGTCCAGCAATTCTTGTAAAAAAAAAATTCAAGGACTTTTCAAGGTCTAAATTTTTTCAAAGTTCACTTTCGGTGTAGAAACTATTAAAATATTTTTTTTTTTTTAAATTAATCTTAATTTTTGACTATTTTAAAAAATATATAGGTATATATACTATACATACAAGTTTTTAAAAAAATTAAGATTTTTCACAATTGAATTACTTTTAAAATTTTAACTATTTTCCATAGCCAATCTTTTTTACAAGCTTTTTTAAATGATTTTTTAGAATCTCGTAAAAACTTCAATTTAAAAAAAAGAGGAAAAAATAAGTTGAAATTTCATTAATTTTTCCTCTTAAATATTGAATCGAAATTTCATTTAAATGCGCAATTTTCGAATCTAAGTATATTAGGAATTTAGTTTCTATTTTTAAACCTCATTGGTGAGTTGGTAATTTTCAAAATTCGTCGCACAAATTAAAATAGCTCATTATGTAATTAAAAAAAAAAATATTGACACACCATGGTATAAAGTAAAGTTTTAGTTGACAATTCTTACCTGAAATATCCTAATTCTAGGTACAGATGATCTCTCATAGCGTATTTGTGCGATGTACTAAATTTACAAATTGGACACAAATACAATTCTTCCTCGGGATTCCCGTATGGACCAAATTCACCCATTTCCTGCTCTTTCGATTGATCCAATCCAATCAATGCCATTGGCTTCATGCACTTTATTTTTGTTTGGTTACTCGGCGATTCAGAGTCGATCTTTCTTTTTATCGATTTCTGAGGAGTTAATGTTGGAGGAGTAGAAATTTCAGAACTTGAATCCTCTTCATTAAGAACATTATTTTCATCTAAATTTGGAGCGACTTTGTTATTTTCTTCGAGAGATGATTTGATTTCGTTGAATTCAAATTCTCGAACAATTTCTACAAATGGTCTTTTATTGTCTACATGGTCTACATGTTTATCAAGATGACGATCTATCTTGTGTCGTTTATAATGGAAATAGTTACAGTAGGAGCATTTATAGAGTTTCGAATCGTGCATTTTTAAATGAATTCCCATTTTTTTTATTGAAATATTCTCTGCCTGTAGTTTTTGTTCTTTACAATGAGCACATTTGAAAAATTGTTCATTCGAGTGTAAAGTTTTCAAATGAGAAAGCAACGTATCTTCATTAACAGTTAAATAAGAGCACTTGGAAAAGCCACAAACAAATCGTTTATTTTCGGGAACATATTTTGGCAACGTCTTTTCATTGGTTGCTTTTGGTTTGATTTCCTCATGTTCATTTTGATAGGAACTACTCGCGGCATTGACTATTTTATTGAACTTGTTTTCTCGCTTGTCCAAGCATGGAACAGAATTAACAGATGCAGAATCTGGAACAATTTCATCTGTGGTGTGAATTTGTAAGTGATCAAAGATATTCAAGCGATCTTTCGTGGAGAATGGACAAAAATTACATTTAATTTCTCGTTGAATAGTAACTTGCGGACTTTCTTTTTCAGATTGTTTAATTGACATTGATTGCTTCTTTTCGGTCTTGGAAATTGGTTGAAAATAAAGGAGATCGTCGTCAGTTGGATTATTCTGATCTACCGGAATACGTTTAAAAGCAGCATTGTGTTTCTTCATTATGTGCGTTGTAACTTGTTTTTGAGTGGCAAATCTTTCACCACAATCAATGCAAACGCATCGTTTTAATCCATGTGTTTCCAAATGCATCATGAAAAAACCAATCAATCGACAGACCTTACGGCAATGTTTACATTCGAATTTTCTTAAACAACAATCTTCCATGTGACTCCTTAGAGTTTCTGAATTTGGAGCTGAATATTTGCATCTGACTTTTCCACATTTATATAATTCCTCGGCTACAAGTCCGCTGGGTTTAAAATTCTTGCGAGTTAACGATTTATTATTATTATTGTCGCTGCTTACAAGTATTACATCCTTAGTTTTTGGTTCTACTTCTTTGTTTGTCAATCTTTCGTTATTTTGACATACTTCACTATCCTTTATTGTTTCTCTATCACAGTCATTTTTAGAATTTGATGTCGAATTTTCCAATTGCTGATCCGCCTTCTGGAGATTTTCGGTAGAAATTATTTGAATAGATGTCGGACTGCTGGATCGAGGAGGAGACACTGATAGCGTAGAATTATTTAAATGTTCTTTTAGAGAACCGTCCGATTCAATTTTAGAATTGCAATTAAAATTCAATGATTCATCAGGTAAATTAATTAAAGTAGTTAAGTCCGAGGATAATGCTTGTTGCGGGTTTGGATTTTTTAGCACATGCTGATCAATGGTACTCATGAATTTGTTGGACTGAAAAATGATCAAGTTCATTATAAATAAATCAGTATCTAACTTCACCCAAAATGAAAATTTTAATAATAAATCGATCAAAAATTAAAGGAAATAGAAAAGAAAATCAAGAATTAAAGAAATTTCCAAAAAAGTTACTTCAACTGACAGAAAATACCAAAAAATTATAGAAATTCCCAGACCGTTAGACACCGTGATAAATAGAATGTTTTTTTTTTAAATCTAACAAATAAAATATCAGTTAAATAAATTCAATAGGAAAAAAGAAAATATTTTTTAAGAAACATACTTGAGGAGGTAAACTTCTTTCAAAAAGAATAGGCTTCTTGTTACTATGTCGATCACTAAGATGACTGTAAACATTGGTTACATAATCCGAGCCATAAGTACAATGTAAACATTGATACTTGAAGATTCCATGGGTTTTGTAGTGCTAAACAGTAATTGATTATATTATAATAAAAACAAAAAAATTTTTTTGTCGTTTAAGCATTTTAATTGAGAAAATTTCAAAAATTACTTACAACAATAAGATCCTCTGCAGTGTACTGATTCAATTCATTATTATTATTATTATTATTGTGTATTTCACATAAATGACATATAAATTTTGACAAGTTTAAATGGTCCTTTATTAGGTGATAATGAAATAATTCAGGTACGTAGAAAATTTCGTTGCACTCTGGAACAATAAATAAACCATGTAAAAAGCAAAAAATTAAAATTATTTTTATTGTTTAAATATGAAAAAACTTACTATTTTGACAAACAAATGGCTTGACCCGTTCACTAAAATTAAATTCTGTCTGAGGCTGTAGAAAATTATTGACACCTTGTAAAACTTTTACTGGTTTTGTTGGATGAGTACTTGCCTTTAAAGAACAAAATATATCCAGTTAAAATCAATGATTTATTACTAGTAAAATCATTCCTCACTTTTTACTTCAGCAATTAGTGAAAAATAACTAATTATTAGTAATAGTAACAATAGTATTTGTAACTTTAAAAAAAAAATTTTACATTGAAATTCTAAAAAAAAAAATTGAGTTTAATATGAGCTGAAAGAGCTTTTTAAAGATAAAGGTCTACTATTATTGACTAAGTATCTTTTACTATATTAAAGTTTTAAGCGACTAACCAACGCCAAAATTTATATTTTCTTTAAAATTTCGAATTTTTTTTGTCCCTAATTTTCAATGTTGTACAAATTAATTTTTCATTTTTGAATTTGAATTTTGCAATTTTTAATTTAAAAAAATTTTGTTTTTTATATTTAAAAATTTTTTGAACGTACGTATAAAATTCAAAAAAATTATTTTTATTGATATTGTACAGGGTGTCTAACAACTTCTAGGAAAAAAAATTCCCAGCCTTTTTCCTGACCTAAATTACACTACAAAATTTTTATTTTGATCAAATAATATTTAATTTGATACAATTAAATCATTTACCTGTCTATTATCCACTAATTTCATATATGTATTTGAACTAAATAAATAATGTTTCGTAAAAAATAAAATATTTAAGTGAAATAAATAAACTAATTGGGGACGTATAAATATTCTCAACATTTAATTTAAAAAAATTTTTACGGCGTCAAATCTTAAATTATGAAATTTTTATTTTGTAAAATTATATAAAGCAGATTTTCTAGTACATCGAATTTCAAATTAATACAATTTCAATTTAACGGAATTTATGTGAAGAAAAATTGCATAAAGAACAATTTTTTTAACAGAATTGTTATTTTAGTAAATTTCAATTTATCAAAATATTTACTTAATAGAATTGTCATTGAATAAATCCACAATTAAGAGAATTTCTATTTAACAAAATTCTTAATTAACAAAGTTTTTCTTCTGCTAAATAGAAATTCTTTTAAATCGAATTTTAGTTAAATGTAAACTAAATATTTCACTGAAAAAAATTAATTAATTGTTATCCAAGTTTTAAAAAATCATTTTTTAATTTGCATTTGCCTTGGGAAAAAAATAAAAAAATTCCAGAAAATTAAAAAAATTCCCTGACTTTTTTTTTAAATATTTGTTTTACATGTTGAAAGAATAAAGAACTGACAGAAAATATATTAGAAGAAATTAGAGAAGAGATGTTAAATTAGAATATTTTTGCTGGATTTTCAGAAAAGGTGGTAAACTAATGAAATATGAATGGACATTTTTATAAATTATAATAATTATTTAAATAAATTTAATAAAATAGAAATATATAGTATTTTGAGAATTTATAAACATGCTCAAAAAAATAGTAATGTCCTCACCTGATGTATTTCAACGTAACAATGCGAGATTGCTCGATAAAAGCAATAATTACATTGATATATGCAAAAAACATGATTTTGCTCATAATGCGACTTCAGTTGGTCCCAATTTCCAAGAGTTAAATAGCAGTAAGCACATTTTTTAAAATCGTACGGCTCCATATTATCACTGGAAATGTCACAAATAATCGCGTGTCCCTCAAAGTGTCTTTGAAAATGATCTACATTATCAGTTGTAAAGGAACAATATCGACCCATACATTTGTAAATATGTTGCAATTTTTCTGAATTTAACATTTCATTGTAGGCAGTTGGTTCTTTTGAATTTTCAACGATCTGCGACGCGTCATTTTGTTTCAAAAGCAATGGATTGTTGTAGACAATGGCAGTATTTTGCTTTTGAGTAGGTGATGATATTGCAGTGTCATTACTGATGGGAGCAATAGGAGTAAATGTATCAGTTTTGCAAATAGGAGTAGAAAAATTAATATTTGTAATGGGAGTATAAGCAGTGTTTTTTGTGGAAATGTGATTACTTCCAATAGTAACGGGAGTCAAGTTTTTAAGTTTTGAATCAATAGGAACTGTAGTTAAATTTTCCGATTTTTTGAGAAATCGACTAGAGATATTAGAAATCGTAATATTTTTATCATCCATGTAAGTTTTGATACTCGGCGGGCTCATTGCGGACAAGTAATTGGTCTGAATTGTTGAAGAAGTTGGAACTATTATGTTCTCAGGAATAAACTTGATCTTCTTTTTTGATTTTGGATTAAAGATAATCAAACCTTTCTTTTTTATATTTTCCACCTAAAACAGTTGGACAAGTTACAATATAGAAACAATTAAAAAAATACATTGACCGAATTCATTTCAAATCAGTTAGACTAAACATTATTGGAGTTGAAAATCAATTTTTATGTTGTTTTTCAAAGCTCTTTAGAAAACAAGTATTTTTTTTTGTTTAAATTTAATTTTCCAAGTCGGAATAGTCAAATTAAGAAGAAAAAATCTTTTAATCGTTATAACTTTCTGTCTAATTATGATATTTAATTTTTTCTTTTTCGACCTGAAAGAGACAAAAAATCAGGGAGTCGATTATGTAATTTGATTTGACTTTGACGTCAAAGTCAAATTGAAATAAAAAATTAAATTTTAATTTAACGTCGAAGTTAAATAAAACAATTAATTTGTTGAATTAAATTTGACATTGACGTTAAAATGAATTTGATTTTGACGTCAAATCAAATTACATAATCGACACCCAGGTAGGAGAGTTAAAAAATATTCAAAAATAACAAAGTGGCGGCTATTTTGCTAAAAATCTTTGAATTCAAATTACTCAAAAATTGTCTTCATAGTAAAGAATATTTCCCATAAAAATTTGACTTGTGTCCAATACTAGTGGAAGAGAAAATTTTTTTTGTTATTTTTAAAAAAAAGAAATTAATTTTCCTCAAGAAATACAGTAGCAGTAAAAAAATTTTCCTAACAAAAATTGTTCCTCTTTAAAAAATGTATCTTGGCACTTCTCTTTATTTTGCTTTCGATATAATTCGCAAAAATATATTTATTTTTTAATTTTTTTACTAGATTTTTAAATAGGAGTAAAATATCTTTAAGATCAATAAAAAATTTAAATATACCGATTAGACAAACAGTTATAACTCTTAAAAGATTCTTTTTCTTATTTTAAGATAAACGACTATTCCGACAATACATGTCGTCTAAAAATTACGTTGTATTAAATTTTTGAAAAAATGTTATTTGGTAAAATTACTTACTACTTTTTTATCCTTTTCAGCTTCTGAAGGATTAGCTAAACTTACAACATTTTTAATTTTTATTAATGACTCGCTGTCTGTACTGAAAACACCTGTATTGCTTAAATATGACTCACATTCGGAGTTTTGGGTACTCCAACCTAATAAAAAAAAAAAATTTTTTTTCTTTTGGTGTTTGAGGTCAATCAATTATATTTCACACAAAGTCGTTGTGGACTATTTTTAGAAAAAACCTTATAATTCGTAGTAATTTCTTATATTCGTACAATACCTATATTTTTGGCAATTATTTAAAAAAAATATTTATATTCACATTAGAAGTTTTAAGTTGAGATGCCCGATAAAGGATATTTTGTGAAAATTTAATATAAAAAGACATAGAAATAATTTAGAATTAATATTAATTAATATTTATTCAAAAATTCCAACTCCTAAATAAACACAGAAAATTTGATAAAATAATTTATTGTCAAAAATATATTGTACGAATATAAAAAATAATTACTACGAATTATCAGATTTTTTGATAGACAGCAACGACTTTGATCCATTTGAAAAATAAATATTTTTCAACAAAAATGATCATAATTTTTCCTTGAAAAAATTTTTACGGTTTTTGATCGAAAAATTAAAAAAAAAAAATTGAGAGCAAAAAGTTTTATTATTTTCCGCGCATGGAAAAATATTGTTTATTTTTAATCGTTGTAAACTTCACCGACGTTTTTCACGTGGAAAATAAATTTATTTACTTAAAAATTTTTACAGACAAAAAATTATAATAATTTGTATGGAAAAATAATTTTTTTTCTCAATCATTGATCATAAACGTGTTGTAAACTTTACATATTCTGTCTATAAGTAATAATAAAAATATTAAAATAAGAAGAAATTGACTAAAAATCAGAAGAATAATTACCAGCAACAGAAGAAGATTCGATCGATTCTGTTTCAGAAAGTGACATCATGTCACCGAATACGTATCTGGATCTTAATTTATGTGTTGGCTTTTTTTGCGAGGAATCAATTTTAACAAATGAGGAAACTTTAGATCCTGTATCGCTTGGCAACTTGGAACCCTGAATTTGAGTACTAAGTTTTTGAATAGCTGTCATCAATTGATTCATAATGTCTGTGGCTTTTTTCAGCAAATTAATCATGTCAGTAGTGGTCTCATTGTCATAACTCATTTCAGTATCGTATTGTAACGTTTTCTCACTATAATAACCCAAATCATCTTGAGATTCATTTTTAACATCCAATGGAATTTTATTTGGTTTCGAAACTTTGTCATAATTATTTTTACCTTCGTTAACATTTCGAGTTTTAACAATATGAGCATTAGATAATGTCTCGAAACCATCAAGATTTTTTTTAGTTTTAAATGTTGGTTTCGAATGAAATACGAATAAATTCGACTTGGTTGCCATTTTGTCTTTGGAGTAGATCTTATCAATAATCGTGAGTCACTTTTTCACTTCCTTATTGTTGCGATCTTGATGCTAGTATTCTTGACTATATTCTCCTACATTTCTTTATTGTTTACAAGTTATATGTATATGCAGTTATGACAAAAAGAAGCACTGCCTTTTTCTTAGAATTTCTTTGTCAACTTTGCTGATGCAGTCCAGCAAAAAACTGTGTAGTCCTCTGGTAGAATAGTGGACATAGTGGTCACGTGATGTCCGGCATTTGCTCCTAGTAAATCTATAGGGATTTTCAAACTCCAACAAAATGTAGAGAAATTTTTAAATCATTTAAAAGGATATTATTTGATTAGTTATAAATAATTTTTATTTTATTAATATCATAATTTATAATAATATTAATAAAAAAATTATTATTATTATTATTATAAAATATATATCTCTAAAAGTACGCATTTTCGTAACACTTCTTTTTTCACTGTTGGGTCCCGGGCAGGGATGGGTAAGTATTATACGTGACGTATTATACGTGGTTTTCTACACGTATAATACGTGGTATTATACGTCTTTAGTTTTCTACGTATGTCACGTATAATACTTAGATCACGTGACGCGCGCGATTTTTAAATTTTAGAAAGTGAAAAATGTGATTTTAATAATTTATTTCACAAAATTTTCAAGTAATTTCTATTTAACAATTTATTAATTAATATGATCTGATTAAATAACTGAAAATGGAATGTTACATCCGAAAAAGAATTTTCCCAAATATAAATCCATATCTTGAGGAGTTTTTGTGTTTTGCGATTCCTGTAAAATAAAACCGGTATAATAATTTTTAGAATATAAATATAAGTAAATACAAATTATATTAATGGTATCGTATAAGCATAATTTTAATTAACAATATAGAAGTTTATTTTTAATTTTTTTTTTTCATGGAAAAACCTTTGAATAAAAAATAATAAAAATACATATTTAAATTAATTTACAAGGTTTTTTAAAATTCCAATAACTTTTTTTATTCTAATTAGGGTAAGTGTACTAATTATGGCGAGTGCACCAATTACGGCGCGTTCATAAAAAATAACTATTATTACTATTATATTTAATATAACTGTTGCCAAATGATTAAAAAAAATTATTTTAATCTTTTTTTGATACAAATACTTATAAAGATGCACATTTAAACAATTATTAATTTAATTATTTGAGATCAAATTTTTTTCCGCGCCGCAATTGAAACATTTTTAAGATTTCCATTGGCTTCAATTTCGGCGGGCAAAGTATCTTCAAAATACACGTAATTTTGGTCACCGAAATTGATACACCGAAACTGATACAAACTCGCCGCAATAGAAAATTACGGTATTAGTTTTAATTTCTCATATTTGTTTAAATAATCGATTTTTATAGAGTTAAATTTTTTTTTTAATATCTTAATAACATAAGCTTTAAGTTTAATAAGTCTTAACTTGAGTTTATACAATAGAAATGTCGAATTTTCTATTTCAAAGGTGTTTTGACTCGAATCTCGCCGCAATTAGTGCATTTACCCTAGTACAGATAAAAGCAGGTTAAAATTAAAAACCAAATGAAAAAGCATTCTTGGCTACAATTGAATATAAAAAGAGGGAATTTGTATATCTGTTATTGTTATTATCAATTAACAGCTGTTTATCCATATGTGCGCATGTGCAGAACGAGACACGTATAATACTCAGGTTTTCTACGTTTTCTACGTATAATACGTAGAAAATGTATTATACGTAGAAAACCTCGAAAAACTCACTTTTACCCATCCCTGGTCCCGGGACTAATTTTTGGCTTCAAAAATGTAGATCTTTTTTTTGGGAACAACTTTTGTTTTGAATATATTTTTCATGAAAATGCATACTTTTCGAGATATTTGCAAGTTTCCATACTTTTTGGAATACCCTGTATGATATTAATAACTGTAATTATTAGTATTATATTAATAACTTATTGTTAATTAATGTTTTTTGCCCATACTGTAGAAACTCCTTTATGGAGACCATTGTGTACACAGCTTTAAGAGTGCTGGAGGTCTCCCATCCCTGGTCGTTGGCAACTTTGCTTTAAAAAGTGAAGCGTTCTTTTCACTTTGAAAAACGAAGCCACAAGTTAGAAGAAGAAGAAAATATTGAAAAAGTGATTTACGCAGTAAAGTTTTTAAAAAATGCTGGAATTATTTAACGAAATCAAATGTCTACTGGTAAACGATCCGGTGCGTATTGACAATGTTGTCTTTCGTCTTTATACACGCGTTACAGTTTTATTTCTGGCATCGTGTTCTGCACTTCTAACATTCAAAACCTATTTCGGCAATCCGATTAATTGCTTCATCTCTACAAATTCGCAAATACGTATGTAAAAATATTCTTTTATCATATATAATTATGTTTTTCATCGATTCATTTATGATTTTGATTAACTGCATTTTTTGTCATCTTCAAATTAAAATAAATATTAAACTTTCTTTTCTCTCTCAACAGCGAAAGAGGCAATAAATTCGTTTTGTTGGGTTACAAGCACCGCTATAGTTGCTGAAAAAACACAGGGAATCCGGGGAATCGACAATGTTGGTTTGGGAATGCGACCATCTCAAAATGATTCCGATTTGATTGAACAACAATATTATAAATGGGTTCGTAAAATAAAAATAAAAAAAAAAAAAAAAATAACTAGTTTTTTATATCTATTTAATAATAATAAAAAATAATTTACTCTGATGATTATATTAAAATTGTCTTAATTTTATTAAATTAATTATGTTTCTTTTCGAATAAGGTTTGCTTATTTCTCGGATTGCAAGCACTTATGTTTTACATACCTCGTGCCTTATGGATCGTTTGGGAACGAAATATTATTAGTTTTCTCGCAAAGGATCTTGCAACTCCTCTTCCACAGGTGGCTTGGACTGAAGAAAAACGAAATCATCTCACTAATTATTTTACTAATGCCAATTTATACTCGAATAATTTCTATGCTATTCGTTTCTTTATTTGCGAGTTACTCAATCTTTTGAATTCGGTGAGTTGTATTTATTAAAAAATTTACTGTATCATTGTGATTGATTTATCGTCATAATTAAAAAAATATTTTCATATATGTAGTTTCTACACTCTGAACAAGTAAAAGTTGAACAATTTTTTAAAATTTGAAGATTAATACAAGTTATTGTTACAAACTTTTTTGTGTGTAATTTTACAAATTTTTGTTTTTTTATTTTAATCTATAAAATCGATTATTATTTCCATTTTTTTGAAAATATAAACAATTTATTTTAATTTATTTAATTTATTGTTTTGAATAGAAAAGCGTAAATTTCATGAAAAAATTTCGACTATTCAAAAAATATTGGCACATTTTAGAAATTTTAACTCAAATATCAGAAAACTAATTTTATTTTAACTGTTTTTTTTTTGTTTTATTACAGATCTGCCAAATTTATTTTCTTGATCTGTTGCTAAATGGTCAATTTTCTCTACTTGGACCCGCATCCGTGACATTTGCGACAGCATATGACACTACAAAAATGATTGATCCATTGAAACAACTTTTCCCATTAACTGGAAAATGCTCAATGAACACGTATGGTTCCTCAGGAACGATTCAAAAGCACGATGCATTTTGCATTTTGTCACTCAATATGATAAATGAAAAGGTTTTTCTCATTTTGTGGTTTTGGTTAATCATTCTTTGTATTCTTGGCACAATCACGATAATCTACAGGTAGTTTTCATTATTCAATTTTTAAACCATTTATTACTTATAATTTTTTTTAAATCACAGAAATTCAATTACATTTTCAAAACTTACATTCAATTTAATTAATTTAATACGAAATAATTCATTCTCTTTTTACGAAAGACATTTTTTTTTCATTTGTTAAAAGAAAGTTCATTTTTTTAGAATCGTCATGTTCGCGTATCCATGGGCAAGAATTTATTTATTACAAGCACAAATTCGATCTTTGGAAAGAAAAAAAATTGAAAATGTAGTGAGAAAACTTTATTTTGGAGATTGGTTTATATTGTATCAACTTGCTGAGAACGTTAATCCCGTTGTATTCAAAGAACTCGTTGATCAATTGAATACGAAAGCCATTGAAATTCCTGAAGGCTTAGCTTAATAAGATACATAAGAAACATTTACTTTTGATTTACATATAATATTCTTTGAGACTGAGATTTCAATTTTTTGCCAAAGTGCCTAGTCTAAAAAATCAAAGCTGAAATATTCCAAAAATTTTCCACATTTAATATATAATATGTATATATTTTTGGAGGGATTTAAAAAAGACTAATCTTGAAAAGAATGATTAAAAAAAAGAAGTTTGATTAATCTAAGAAAACATTAAATTAAAAATTTAAAAGATAAGTATAAAAATAAAAAAAAAATTAGCGGTTATTTATTTATTTAAATAATGTAGCTACATTTTCATGAGAAACAATAAGTTTAAGAAGAAATGTTATTATTAAAAGAAAACATAAGTAACGCTTTATTCTCACTTCAATTAAAATTGTTCGAAATTTTTGTTTCTTTTTTTAAATATAAAGCGTAGACCTGGAGATTAAATATTTGTGAAAGAAGAGTTTATTTATTAAATGTATTAATAAGATATTTTGTTAAACGAGTGATATATAGTATACATAAGAAAAAGTATTTAAATATTAATATTAAGTATTTGTTTTAAAAAAAAAAAAAAAAAAATTGTTACTTATTAATGACTGATATAAAAGAGACACATTAGAATCTATCTATATGAGAATAATTGTAGTGTTAAACTGTTAAAAATTTTGTACTTATTTTTTAATATATGTCTTCAATAATAATTTCTTGTTCTAGAAAAAATAATGTATTTTTGTACATGTTTCGTATTTTTTTTAAATAAAAATACATTTATAAAACAACTGAGCAGATTTTTTTTGTATTTTGTACAAATACAAAATAAAAATTACTATAAATAATTTTTAATTAATTTCAATTTCTCATTAAACAAAAAAAAACTATTCAAACGTTCAAGAAAATTAGAGAAGCCTGCTCGATTTTGCAAAAATCAAAGAAAAAATTCCTGTCATCTTCCTCTGATCATTTACTTTATTCAAAGTAAATTATTATTTAATTAGTTATTAGTATTTAATTTAATTTACAAATTTCATGCATAAATCAACATGAAATTTTGTTTAATTATAATGTAATTTTATGCCAATTCTTATTAATTAAAAGAAGTATTTCATTTAAAAAAAATGTTTTACCTATTTTTTATTCATTACGTTTGTAATTTTTAAAAAAATAAATTTGTTATTTCAATGTAATCATTACCAAATATTTACCTCATTTATTTTTTGAATTAAAAAAAAATTGATTTCCAGTTATTATATTATATTTTTCTTTTTACTATACCTACAAAAATAGATATTGTTATTGAAGTTTTTTAATTTTTACATTTTACCGCGAAAATAAAAAAAAGGGGTTAAATAATATTGTTTGTCAAATTTTTAAAATTAAGGGTAAATATATAATAATTTAATAGTATAAAACAGAATGCATTTTTTTTTATTTACAGAAATAATAAGTTTAATTTTGTGTTATAAATTTTTTTTTTTTTGAAAAAAAAGAATAATCTTCGCATTTTTAATCTTTAAACACAGATTCAAGTTTAAAGTTTTTGTAAACATGTAAAATACATACATAATTAAAATATACGTTGTAAATTTAAAACAATTCACTTTTTTCTATAAATTGTATAATATATTACACATTATTCGTCAAGTGAAAAATAGGAACACAATAAGTGCATTTGTATTATACATCGTTTTTGTGTTTTATTTCATCAAATGTTGTTTCGTTACGTGTATTTTGACTCCACGTTTACTTGGGAATTCGTGCCAGCAATATTTACATTTAAAGACATAATCTCTTTTATCACCTGGAAAAGAAGAGGAACATTTTATTTATTATTTAAAAAGATATCACATTTTTTTTCATTATAATGAATAATTGTGTATTTTGTTAAAATTATAAATCCTATTATAAAAAAAGACAATTATATAGGATGTCACAAGTAATGTTGGTTTAGTGTGAAAATTTAAGAAAGTGCAGGCAACAAAAACAAACAATTAATCTAATGAAATTAATATTATTGCTACTTACAATTCTCATTAATATTATCCATTTCAGATTTGTCGTTTTTGTATTTTTGAATTTTTTCCCCTTGACGCTCTAATAAAGTATGAACCCACTCCTCAATTTCGTCGTTTATGGGTAAAGTTTCGAAATTGGAAACTTTTCCCCTGTGTTTTTTTTCATTTCCTCTTGCGCAATGAATCTTCATCGAATACACGTTAACTGACTCATATATACAACTAAGGCACTCATATCTGAAATTGAAATAGTGGATTGTTATTAAAAAAGATATTTTTTTTTAAATTGCTTCCTCATGGAAGAAGTATTGTAATACCAAAAATTTTTAAGTTCTTATTTTTCACATATCTTTGCATTTTTTGATATCAGGAATCTAAAAATCAACGTTTTTAGAAAATTTCACGATGTGTGTATATATGTATATATTTTTTTAATATAATTATTTTTTTATAAGCAACGTCTAATCAACATTTTATTAAATATTCATTGGTATTTTGTTGCAATAAATAAATAATTATTTTAATAAATTTACCTGAAATATTTTAAATCTTTGAACAGATGAAATTTCATATTCTGTTTGTGTTTTGTCCTATATTCTTTTCCTTTTTTGCAAATTGGACACACATAAAATTCTTCTTCGGGATTCCCATAAGGACCAAATTTACCAATTTTCTGTTCATTTGACTCATCCAATTTTATTTTTGCTACTTTACTCGGCAAGTCGGAATCGCTTTTTCTTTTTTTACAATTTTCGGGAGTTAATACTGCAGAACCAGAAATCTCAAGATGTGAATCGTCTTTATTAAGAATACTTCGAATATGTTTAGTCTGTGGTAAATCTCTTCGCCAGAGTGGCAACGAATCGAACGATTCCTCAGAAGTTCCTTGATGTTCGTTTAAATCGATAAATTTCTTTGTACCCTCAATTTTTTGATAAACCATTTGAAAATCGGCCTCAGGCTCATAGGGATGTTTGGAAATTAAATGCCAATCCAATCCAATTTGAATATTTGTTTTATATGAACAAGCGGTGCATTTAAATTGATTTTTTTCATTATGTTCATTTGAGGCGTGTGCAAGTATTTCTGCTTTGTAAACACAATGATAATCACAATTGTTGCATTTCCAAAGATTTTCTTCTGGATTTGGTGTGTTATTTTTATTTTCTTCGAGGGACGATTTATTCGATTCAAATTCTCGAACAACTTCAACAAATGGTCTTTTATTGTCTACATGGTCTACATGTTTATCAAGATGACGATCTACCTTGTGTCGTTTATAATGGAAATAGTTACAGTAGGAGCATTTATAGAGTTTCGAATCGTGCATCTTCAAATGAATTCCCATTCTTTCCATTGAAATATTATCTGCCTGCAATTTTTGCTCTTTACAATGTGTACATTTGAAAAATTGTTCATCCGAGTGTAAAGTTTTTAAATGAGAACGTAACGTATTTTCATTAACACTTAAATAAGAGCACTTGGAAAAGCCACAAACAAATCGTTTATTTTCGGGAACATATTTTGGCAATGTCTTTTCATCGGTTTGAATAACAGTCTCTTTTTGTTTGACCTCCTTACATTCATTTTGATGGGAACTACTTGCGAAATTGACTATTTTATCGAAAATCTTTTCTTGCTTTTCCAAGGATGACGAAGAATTAGTGAGTACAGATTCTGGGACAATTACATCTTCGACAGAGGTTGAGTCCGGCACGATTTTAGACTTATTAAAATTAGAATCCAATGATTCATCAGGTAAATTAATGAATGCAATTAAATCCGAGCACCACGAATAATGCTCGTCTGGATTTAAGAGAAGTAGCTGATCGATGTCACTTTTTAATTTGGTAAGCTGAAAAATAATAATTATTATTTCAATCGGACAAATAAAAATACATGAATAAATTGAACAAAACAAAATAATTTTTTGAAAAATATACCTGCGGTGAACTTTTTTCAAGCAGAACAGGCTCCTGGATGCATTGTGATTGCTGAGGACTAATATGACTGTGAGTATTGGTTTTAGAGTTAACACATTGATACTTACAGTCTCCATGCTCTTCATAGTGCTAGAAAGTAATTGAATATTAAAATCAATAGTTAATTTAAATTATGAAAGAAGTTAAATATTATCTTATTATAAATATGATTATATTGATTTTTTCGATTTGGCTAAAATTTTTTAATTTTTTTTAAACTCTACGAAAAAATGTTGCATGATTTTTTTCAAACTTTTTTTTATCAAACTTTATGAGATGAGTTTTTCAAAAACATTACTTTTCGAAAAATCGATGCAAAAAATTTTAGAAAAATAATTCACTATACTTTCTGCAATTTAAAAATTAAAATTTTAATTTTAAAACTGTTTATATTCATAATTTTTTTTTTAATTTAAAAAAATTTTAAGCTTTGTCCGGTTATGGAGAAACGATTTTTTCAATATTTTCGGAATTTTGAATTTCTTTAAAATACCTTCGGTTTTTTTTTTTTTTTTTTGATAATACGTACATTTATGTATTTTGATGGGCTAATTATGAAAACCGTAGTAAAAATATTCGAAAATTATAGAAAAAAAAGATACAAAAATAAATTAAATGATATACATCGACGATTACGCTTTTAAATTAATAAAATTTCAAAAATAACTTACCAAAATAAGCTCCTCTGGTGAATAACTTAGAATTTTACACAAATGACAATTGAATATAGAAATACTGGAATGCTCAACTTCTAAATGAACAAAGAGTTCTTCGGGTGCATCGAAACATTTATTGCATTCTAAAATAGAAAATAAATAAACAACATTTAGCAACAATTATTTTTAACCTGTAAAAATAAAGGAGAAAAACTTACCGTTTACACGCTCCAAAATAATTCGCAGCTCCTTTTTAAAAATTTCATCAAATTTTCGAATCATAGAACTTTTATCCAAACTCTAAACAGTGAAGATTTATTAATTTTTATAAAAATGGAAAAAATTTACAATATTTGATTCAAATTTTAATAAATTAATGCAAAAAATAGATATAATAAAAAATTAGCAACTTACATTTGTATTATTGTCAGAAGGTATAACCAGATTGCTTGAAGTAGCTATTAAAACAATATTTTTTTAAATTTGAAAAAAAAACTTTCAACATTTTCTACAAGTATCTAATAGACCTTTTCATGCTGATCGTTCTGTCCTTATCTAGCACATACAATAATGCATAAGTTGGAAGAGGACAGAATGATCGGCATGAAAAGGTCTATTATGAAAATTAGAAGAAATTTAATAAAAATAAAAAACAATAGTTACCATCAACAGGAGTTGTTACCATTGGACACGGATCCGTGTCAAATGTTAATGACACTTCGTCACTATCGCTTTCTTCATCTTCAGTAAAATTTTCATCCTCTAATGAATCTTTTGAGTGTGAATCATTATCACAATTTTCATTCGCTTCAATACCAACTTGAGCTGGGGTTATCCAGGTGGTGAAAGCCTTGCTAATGTTCCTGACTATACCCTGCATTTTCTTCTTTCACAAGTTCTATTTTTACTGTTTACCTTCTACTTTAAAGGCCTACGCACAATAGTTCGTAAATCTATTATACATACATACACTCGTGTTCAGATTTGCCTACACATATTTGTCCTTTTCTAACGCACGTGTAGCCATGGCAACATATGCGTTAGAAAAAAACAAAAAATTGCATATCTGACCACGAGTGTACATTGGCCTTATTTTGCTTATATTACTCTTATTATTTCACGTTTGCAAACTATAAAGGCGCCGTCCCATGATGCTGATTCTACACTTATGGAGAATTTACACCTTCTGTAAAAAAATTTCTTCACTTTGCATTTTCCGAAATACACTTACTTGTCCACAATGAATCAGATTCGGACAACCAATCAGGTATGTGTATTTCGGAAAATGCAAAGTGAAGAAAATTTTTTACAGAAGGTGTAAATGCTCCATTACGGAGTAGCTGCGCTTTTCCGTTAAGGCCAACGCACAATAGTTTCGCGAAAACAGTTCGCGAACGAGAGGCATGAGATAGAAAAGGATACGAATATATTTCTGTCTTTTTGTAACTCATATTTCACGTTCGCGAACGTCACACTTCAAGGGGGGGAGAGGGGATCTATCAAAAAAATGGCGCTAAAATATATAATAGTGTGTGAAGTGGGGGAGGGGGATTTAAAAATTGAATAAAATTGGGAACCGCAGAACTGCGATACGCCATCTAGGTGTCGACCCCCTTGTGGTAGCCATTTTTCGTTCCATCTCTCTTTTATCATATGTTTAAAGGCCTGAGCAGAATAGAAACGTAACCGTAATCGTGAACGGAAGAATGGGTTAGAGAAGGATAGTCATATATTGTTGTTCTTCTCTTACTTATTCTTCCGTTTGTGATTGCGATTACGATTCCGGTTACGTTTCTATTGTGCTTAGGCCTTAAGAGAGAGATAAAATATCAAGATGGCTACCGCAACGGGGTTAATTTTCCCATGATTCCCAATGATTTCTGATCCCAATAGCGTGACGTAGTTTGTGAACGACCCCATACTAGGGAAGTACAGAGATGGGCACGTAGAAAACGTCAAGTATAATACAAGATATTTTACGTGTAATATACACGTATTATACATGAGTTTTCTACATGTGTATTATATATAAGGCTAATTTTAAGAAACATAACCCTTAATCTGATTGTTTTTAAATTTCCAATTTTCAAAAGTTCTGATCACGAAGTAGTATAAAGGCCAACGCACAATAGCTTCGCGAAAGTCGTTCGCGAACGAGATGCATGAGATAGAAAAGGATACATATATACCTCTGTCCTTTTCTAACTAATGTTTCACGTTCGCGAACGTCTTTTGCGAAGCTATTCTGCTTAGGCCTTAAGGAGACATATTACCTATGTATTAAAATCAAGTGTTTATATAATACACAGTTTAATACCACAATTTCCAGCGGTTGGCGCAAGTGTAATTAGATTAGTGAAAACTTGAGAACCGTGAATACCGAAAACGAGGCCATCTTTTATATACAGCGATATGTCTCCTTATACTATTTCGTGGTTCTGATATTGGCAAAAATTAATTATCGATGCTTTGATAAAATTAAAATTATATTAGTATTTCTCTTCTAAATTGAGAACAGTTTCATGAGAACGACACTTTGAAACAGATATAGTAATTTTTTCAAAATAAAAAGAGAAAATAATTAATATAATGTAAATTGAAATATATAGTTTATAAAAAAATGTTTTTATGACGTTAAATTAAACAAAAAATTCTTAATTTTATGTAAAAAAAAATATCGCCCGTTGCTCACAGTCAATTGGGTTCGAACTCCGGCCACTACCTGATAACCGGAAAGACCTCAAAGCGCAATTACTCCCAGGTATTTACGCACCACAGCTACGGCGATTATAAAATTTTTCTTAGAGCAAGCATTATTTATCGACGAATTAACTGATCTAAGTATAATAAATGTTCATTTGTCAGTAATCTTGTATATTTCTACAGAACAAATTTGTTTTAAAAATTAAGTCAATAATAAATTCTATTTTCTATTTCTCATAGTTATAATTTACACAATTAATTAATTATACACATTAAGTTTAAAATGATGAAAAATTGTTAATGGTAAAATTTGTGCTGTATAATTTTATACCAAATATCATTTTTCTAAAAATGTATTACCGAAACCAGAATCCTGATGAATCACTCAATGAAAATAGAGAGTGAAATGATCGGCATAGGCAAGCGTGGAACAATATCAAATACATACTTAGAAACTTTGAATTTCGCGGAAATATCTCGGAAAACTTCGTCAATCTTCGTTTATGTCATACGAAGACAAACGTTCACATTTCTGACAGAATTGTCGGAAAATATTTTTAGAGATCAAAGAAACTAGTTTAAATTTTATTATTTAATTATGTTTTGTCATTATACATATTACATGTGTAGATTTGGATAGGTGAATAAAAAAAGGTAATAATGAAATTTGTTTATGTTTTTTTTTCAAATTAAAACTTTTTTGGGGTAATGGGAAATTGCGTCAGCAAGGAGAGTTTTTGTTATCTCGGTATTGCATTTCTTATTGCTTTGAAAATTGAAAAAAATTAATTTATAAAATTTGATATTCTTGCACATTTAATGACTAAAAATCTGTATTTGTGTTTTATTGTCTTTAAAATTAGATATTTTAATACTAAAGAAGTTGTAAGTATTTTTTATGTTACAAATACTTTATAAAATGTCCATCTGTCGAGAAGTATTGACAAAATAATGAGAGAACATGTATTAAAAAAAATTATTTTTTTTTACAAATTTACTTTTTTTTCTTACTTTCTATATATAATTAAAGATAAATAACAAAGAGTAAAAAAGGAGCAAAACAATATTTTATTATAACTAATATATTACCTGTGTTTATTTTGAATTAAATAAATTGTTTTTAATTTTAAAAAAATGTTAATCAAAAAGCGAAAGTTAATTATAAAAAAAGCACTGAAATCATTTTTTTATAAATTATTATTTTCTATATTAATAATGTATTCAAAAATTATTTCGTTTTCCTTGAAGTTTTAACATTGAAGATTAAATTTCATAACATAAAATTAAAAGTTTAGTACATTATAAATTATATGAATGATTATTGAAAATAATATTTAAATTAAACAAATTTTGTTCAAAGTTCTTTTTTTATAATATTGTATATATAAAACGTATGTTTAAAGTATATAAAAAATTACAATATTGAGAATATACAATATATAAATATTGTGTACTTATTTAATAAAAGGCAACATTGATTGGTTTAAGTATCAACAATTAAATTATTTATTTTACATTTCATTAATAATTTTTAAACGAAAAACAATAATATCAATCATTAGAAAGTACCACTAAAAAAATAAAACATCACTTAGTTTAATGTTTTATTATATGATTCACTAAAAATGATTGTCGAAATAATGGTTTTGTATAATATACAATATAATAATATTTTTAAAAAAATGACTTTTTAAAATTTATTGTATAGAGTAATATACATATATTATTCTAAAAGTATTAAAAATAGATAATAATTGTTTTAATTGCACTTAAAAATATTTTTCAAGTCTATAGTTAAAAAAAAAAAATTTGTCCAAAAAATAAAATGAGCTTAAAATTCATAAATATACATATAATAATGCTAAAAAAATATTAAAAATTTTTTTCATATTGATCAAGACATCCACTCTACACTTCTATTCTCCATATCAAAAGTTAGAACTGATGCTCAAATTCAACTACTCGTAATAACTTTAATTTATAATTAAGACTGAAATAAATTTTACATCCATAAAGGGAGATAAATTGACAATAGATTTTAAAACTCGAATTTCTAACAATGAAATTTGTTAACATATTTATAATAATTTTCGAAATTTGTTACGCCTGATGGTTGAAAGCAGATGAGTCTCGAAAAATATTAAATTTTACCCAAAAATTATATAAAAATAGGAGGTATTTTTTATTCCCCATAAAGTACAATAATCGTCAAATTGAAAATAAATATATTTACATCAACATGTTACAGATTTAACACTTAAAAGTTATCAAATGTTTTGAATGCCGTTCCCAAGTTGTCAAGAATTTCAATTACAAGCCTTTCTTCATCGTCCGTCCGATTTGCTAGGTCACCGATCGCAAAAGTCAAATTTTCATGATCATGATCATTTCACTCTGTATTCTCGTTGAGATATCAAGATTATTCAACCAACTATTGAGTTTTGTTGCTCTCTCTGATCATCAATTATTAGATCATTGAATGATTGATTTCACTTTGTATTGATACCCAACGAAGGCGTGTGGCGCGCGTTGGTTATGAGATTCGATTTGGATCAAGCCAATCGTATCATAATTTTCTTGTGGAAAATTACACTCATCAGTCCTTCTTAGGACTAATCCAACACTGAGAGGGTAGATTGACGAGGGCGTGTGGCGCACGTCAATTCCTTCCGGAGTGAGGCCCATAAAATGGAGCAAGAAAAGAAGACAGATCCCACTTCCAAGAAGAGGAAAATATCGAAAAATACCAGTGAGGATGGTCAACATAAAAATGGAATTCCAACTTACAATCGCTTCGAAGTACTCGATGATGATGCCTCGTCCATAAGCAGCATTGAAATTGATGAAGAGGACTCTTTCTCGACTGCAGTCACTAAAAAATTCAAGATTCCGCCACTGGTTATCACATCAAAAATTGAAAATTACATGCAGTTCATAAAAACCATATTAAATGTGTGTCAAGACAAGAAGACAAGAATCGACTACAATCCGAAGAAATTGAAAGTGTTCACAACCTCCATCGAAGATTATGGAGAACTATTGAAACTTTTAAAAAATGAAAACATGGAGTTTTACACATATGCTCCAAAAAACTCCCGACCAAAGCATATAGTTGCGAAGAGACTACCTAATATCCCAACACCAGAGATCATGGAAGATTTACTAAAGTAAGATGTCCCTTGCGAAAAAATTTCCATCCTCAATAAGAAAAAGACGGCATCATAACCGTATATGATGATCCAATATACATGATCACATTAAAAAAAGAAGTGGACTGTGACAAATCGATTGAAGATCCACCAAAGTGCACTAACTGTGAAGGGCAGCATCCGGCAAATTACTCTTAATTTTTTATTTTGCCAATAACAGTTTAATAGAAATAATTACTCCTGATTCTCTCAAAAAGGGCAAATCAAAGCGTACACAATTTTAGACGGTGTTTTTGTTAAAAAATAATAAAATTAATTTCAATTAATAAAAATTTGTCAGTCATACAATAAGATTTAACAATTTTCAATCGGATCACTAATGAATATTTCAAAAAAAAGTCGAATAACTGAATTATTGAATGAAAAGTAGTGTTAAAACTCCCCTCTGTAATATTGAAGTTGAAGTTTTGGATGAATTAGATTCAGACCATCTGCCTATAATCGTAACTCTTAATGTTTATAATTGTAATAAATCAAAACAAGTTGTAAATTCAGATGTTCATTACATGAACATTTTGCTTCCTCTTTACGATCAGCAAAAAAATTTGCTTCCTCGTGGAGAAAGCAAAATTTTATTGCCAAAATGTCAATTTTTGATTTTTTAACTTTCATTAATTCTTTAAATTTACTTCAAATGTATACTTTATATATATCGATCGATTCGTCTTGACGTAAGGAATACAATTATTTCATATATAAACTTCAATTTAAAAAATCACAAAATTTTACAGCCTAAATGTGAAATTTTGATTTTTTTACTTTCATTAATTCTTTAAATTTACCTTAAATGTATACTTTATATATATCGATGGATTCGTCTTGACGTAAGGAAAACGATTTTATTATATATAACCTTAAATTTTTCTATTTAAAAATTTTTGGAAAAAAGACGATAAAATTTTTTTTTGGAATATTTTTCAAAATCCTTTGATCAGATTTGAGATATTAATATGATAAATGAGCCTACCAAATTTTATCTAAATCCATTACAACCTGTTAAAGTTATCTTCTAAACAAAAAAGGGATCCACACACACACATACATACATCCGGACAATTGATCAGGATCTCATATAACATGTTTCTATAAAGAAAAAAATTTGTTTCCGCCACTTTGAAAAGTTTTATAAATGAAAGGACTACAAAGCTTCCTCCACGAGGAAGCAAAAAACATTATTTAATTACAAAAAAGCAGATTGGAAAAATTTTAGGACATATTTACATTCAAACCTAACTATTTGCAATAATCTAGATTCATTTATTACTGTAATGTTAATGTAAATACAAATAATTAAGTAAATATAAATAAGTACTAAGTAAATATTCCTTGTTAATAAGGAAAATTGACATGGTACATATATTGAAAAATATTGTTGACCCTTTAAATTTAACTGCTTATCAGTTTCCTTAATATTTGTAAAATTAATATGATTTTTATTCGCTTTGAAATTTATGAAAATAAACATTTGTTCAAACAATATTTGTAATTTCTGTTCAAATGAAAACATGCTATTTTGGGTTTATTGTACTGTTAAATATTTTTAATATTTTAAACATTTAGATAATTTCAAAGCCAAATATTTATAAAGAATTAAAATTGGACTTACTATAGAGTAAATTATTTTTATTATAAGATACAAAGCTTTTTAATATTAACATGTAATTAAAAAATATTATAATTGAAATAATTATTTTTACAGTATGTAAATCTAATTTTAAATCTTTATAAACATTTTACTTTAAATGAAAATTAATATATTTGAAAAATTTTATTTAATTTACAGTATATGTGATTAACAATAAATTCATATTTTTCAGAAGCGAATTCTAAAAGAGATAATGAAACCCTTATTTATTAATTATTATTTTTCATAGATAAAGATAAATATAAAATTTATTTATTTCTTGTACACTTCTTAAGTTTTCCAATATATTATTCTTCATCAATTCCCCTTATTTTTAACAATTAAATTATTTATATTCTAAAGTCCAACTAATTAGTAAGTATTTATTTTTAATTTTTAGACTTTGTTAAATCTAATATTAAAACAAATCTATCAGTTTATGATACATCACATGGTTTATTGGAAATTTCTTGACATGTAGGAGTCGGTGGTACTTCACATTTGCATTTAATACATCTTCTCATTTCGTCCGTTTTTGGATTAAGTTCGTCACCAATTTTCATGACAATTTTTCCAAATACGCAAGTATCTAAAAATTATTATGTAGTTATATGTACCAATTGTTTTATTTATTGCGCTAAAACAAAATTTTAAGAAACCAATTTTTACTCACCTGATTTGTCATTGGAAGGGTTTTCAACTTCTGTTGAACGGGAAATAAGTTTGTCATTTGCATCAGCTAGATATCATTGAAATATTTATTATTAAAATTTAATTTTAAATTATATTTCAGGAGCTAAAAATTTTTTTTCACAAAATTTATTAATTAATGAAATTAAAGAAATCTTCTACCAAGAAAGAAATTTTGTTTAGAAATAAGAATAAGTTGAGATTTTTCTGATCATTTCTACTTACTTTTATTTATAAATAAAAAATCCGCTTATTAGTTGAAATTGAAATTATATTGATCCTTTGTTATTAAGTACTTGAGTTTAATGTTAGATTGACAATATAAGGTTTTCACTTACGACATCTGAAAAAACTATTGCAAGAAATTTGCGGATGCTCTTGATAACGATAAATTGGAGCACATTTTTCTTTCAATTCATAGTTATTATGGAGTTCAATGCCACATGATTTTTCTTCTAGATCATAACAGAAGGGTTTAACATTTTCACCTGGAACACAAAATAATAATAATTTAATAAAATAATAAGAGTAAACAAGGAGGGGGTCCTTTATGTTTATTTCATAAAAATTTTGCTTCCTCATCGTGTGAAGCAAAAAATTTGCTTTCTCGTGGAGGAAGCTATGAATTTCTCTAATTCAATTAATTGATTTAAAACATTTCGAGTTAAAAATTGATTTAAATTAATTAAATTTTTTGAAAAATGAAGAAAATTTTAAATCATTTTGGGTCTAACATATACTTTAAATATACGAATCGATTCGTCTTAAGGCAAGGAATTCAATTATTTTATGTATTAAGGGTATGTATGCAAAGGACGTTTTTTGTAGTTTGACTCTCTAAATATGAATCAGTGAAAAAGTCACTGGTGTCAAATCAGTCGCTAAATTCTAGCTATTTGAATCAGTGGTTTTCACTGACAGTTAGTGACATTTCAATGGAGAATCAATTACTTTGACTGAAAATCAGTGAAATGTTACTGATTCAAATAGCTAGAATTTAGCGACTGATTTGAGACCAGTGACTTTTTCACTGATTCAAATTTAGAGAGTAAACTTTCTCTGAAATAAAAAATTATTTTGGGTTAAAATTTTGGAATAATGATTTTGTTTGGTACAAGGAATCTCGCTGTTCTACGGATTTAATATAACTTGACGCAAAAATAATAAAAATAAAGCAATAAATATTAAAATAATGCATTATTATACATATCATAGTTCATTCAGCGGCCACTCGCTCGAATTGGCGCTGTTTACTGGATCACTGACACACTCAAGCAACATCTGTGTATGCGCCGCCATGTTTGTTTTCATTTTCGTTTAAAAATGACACTTTTTAAACTTCATTTTTTAATTATTTAACGCAAAATTGTGTATTATTCGGAGAACAGCGAGATTCCTTGTACCCTAATCTATCATCCCTCAAAATTTTAGACAAAGGACTTTTCTCATTTTAGAGTGAAATGTACACTGAAAGACTTTTCGTTTGAAAAATTAATGATTTGTTTGAAAGTGAGGATAATTCTGTTTTTATGCGATTTAGTCGTATGAAATGTAACAATTTTTAACCAAATAATACTGAAAGTTAATATGACCATACTAATTTTCGGTATGATTTGGTTTAAACAATGATACATTCATACCACTAAATCGCATAAAAATAGAATTATCCTCATTTTCAAACAAATCATATTAATTTTTCAAACGAAGCCTTTCAGTGTATACTACCAAAACACATTTTCCCATACTAGGTCACGTGGGAGATTCCCACATACCTTGAACTTAAAAAAACACAAAAATTTTTAGCTAAAATATGAATTTTTGATTTTTTAATTTTTAATAATTCTTTAAATTTCAATCAAATCTATAGTTTATATATATATCAATCGATTCGTCTTGACGTAAGGAAGACGATTATATTATTATATATTACTTAAACACACATACATACATCCGGACAATTGATCAGGATCTCATATAACATGTTTCTATATAGAGGAAAATTTTTTTTCACCAATTTTAAAAATTTTATAAACGAAAGGACTACAAAGCTTCCTCCACGAGGAAGCAAAATTATGTTTTTTTTAAAAAAAGAAGAAGATAATTTATTAAAAATTTATATTTTTCAAATAAAAAATTTTTAATTATAAAATAAAAAATAAACAATGAACAATTTATAATAAATTAAGATTTTATTAAGAATTAAAAAACAAATTTATACCTTTATATCCTGGTTTACAAAAACAAATGAAATCTGTCTTGTTTTTTGGTTGGAAAGAATCACCTTCTTTTAATGTTTTTCCATCAACAAGACAAGTTACAGGATTTCTAGCTACAAATAAAGAAATATATATATATATATATCAAAAATAAGTTAATTGAATTAGTTTCTAAGATAGGAAATTTTTTAAAATAGAAATTATTTCAAAATTATTATATTCTACTTTCATATTTAAAATAATGATTTCATTTTTTTCACAAGAGTTTCTTTTTTATACTACTTTTAATTAAAATACAATAATTTAGAATAATTGTAGTGTCCTTCAACGGTTTTTTATTAAGGGCTTCTTATTTTATTCAAATAAATAAATAACACTTACGACAAATTTCTGCACCTGGACAGCATTTATCTGGAGAAATTTCACGATAACATCCAGGCTTAGGTGGCAAATTAAAACAATCTACTATTGGACACGTAAATTCCATCCTTGAAATAATAGTGTTTAAAAAAATTTTTTAATTAAATAAATCAGTTTGATTATTTGACAATAAAAAAATTATATGAATCAAAAGGAAAGTTATTTCCATTTTTGAGGATAGTTTAATTGTATTTATTTTATAAATAAATTATAATTTGTTAAAAATATTATAAATTCTGATTAATATACAAAACAACTTACAATCCCCGAAAACTTTCTAAACAAATGCAGCCAAAGGAACAGCGCAATGAGTCTTCTTCCTTCAACATCTCACCGATCTCATAAACGTTGTCATTTACATAACACTTTTTTGATTTGAATCTTTCTTCAATATGAGAACAGTCATATTTCACGGCACAACATTCGTCGGGAGTTTTGTAAATTGGTTTACACTTGATTTCATTGTAAAATCTTAATGGACCAGGACATTTAGTTTTATCACATTTATCTTTAAATGTAGAGAAAAAAAATAATTAAAAATTGTTTTTATATATATGTAGAATAGGTGAAAATTATAAATAATAGAAAATTTTGTTTTAATAAATTTTTATAATCCTTAATATTATTCAATTATATATTTTTTCAGTACCTTCAGCAAAAAGTGGAGAGACAATAAAAATCAAACTAAAAAAAAATTCAAGAATAAACATTTTTATGAAGTTGATTTTAACACTACAGTTCAATTCGAGTGTTAAATTCAATATCAGTGAGGTAGCAAATTACAATTGCTTTTTATAAGATGCCGCTTGCAATGCAGACAGCAGACTTGTACCAAAAGAAGTGGGGAGGATGGATGCCGCGCTTTCTATGAACGATAAGTACTGCATACAACGCACCTATAATCTTGCAGTAACATTGTCAACGAGTTCTAACTTGGCAGCGGTAGTGACCGGACGGAATATGTTCCGGCACTCCATGCATTTTCAACCGATTTTGTTCTACCTATTATTTTTCAAACAAGTTTTAGTTCATCTTAGTCAAGTTCTGTGTAGTAAATACTTATGATTTGTTCTGCTTCTGAAAGCAACTATATAACCTTTTTATTAAAACGTTCGTTCTACCACGTGCTCTCTGATGTGTTCTTCGAAGTTTGTTCTAATCCTGATCAGTTCTGAGTTTTGTTCTATAAGCGAGTGTGACTTCTACCCTCGCTCATCGCAACCTTTTGTGAAATATCTAAAATTTTTGTGTCATCCTGAGAATCTATTTTATTGCTTCATTCTGTTCCGCGTGTTCTTTCATAAATTTTTCTGGTTTTATCTGATTTTGAGACGGCTCACTGTTATTGTGCTGTGACCTCTGTTGTTTACAATGCTTTGTAGATCTATGTAAACATCTTTTGTATATTTGTGGTGTCACCTTGTAGTGTTCTGGTCTTCGACAGTTTAATATCTTAACTGTATACCCCTTGTTCAAGGTTTAAGTATATTTGAAGTGTTTGAAACCCGGTGTTGACATTTTACCGCGCTACAAGTACAATTGATGTTTCCCTCACAACTTGAGTTTGTCTCTCATTGTTTTGCCCAGAGGGAGCCTGACTACGGTGGTCTCACTTTAAGCAACCATTGTGTTATTTTTTCCGATTGAAACTTGGAAATTGCTATTGAGATCAATTATATATATCAATGTATGGCCTATACGTTTTGAATTCAATTCTCACATGTATTCTTCTCATGGGAGTTTATTATGATTCATGAATGGATTCAACGTATGGCAAAGTCATTTTCCTTGTACTCGACTTGTCCGTTTCCAAGCGAACAATATATTTGATTCAATCTCAATTTCCAATAAGCTGGATTTACTTTGCTGTTGTCTAACCTGTATTACCAACAGTTTAGCATATAGTGTATTCTAGAACTTTTTCGTCTTCTAAGTTTATTGTTCTGACACTCGGCTAGGCCTAAAGTCATTTAAGAAGAAGAAGAAGAAGAAGAACATTGTCAACGCTGCCCTGGCGGATCTCGAAATCGGAATGTACGCTGAATTCGTTGTACATTCGTTACACCATTGGTTAAACATTTAGTTGGAGTGAAAATTGTGTAGAAACTGAGTGGAAACTGTGGAAAAGTGTAATTGAATTGAATAATAAAAGTATTTAGTGATTGATTTGTGCTGTATTTGTGATAAATTAACGTGTTATTATTAAATAAATAAAGTTTAAAATGTTCGCGTAAGTGAGTTTGACAGGCTAGGGAATTTTCTAGTGACATCCAAATTGATAGTCGATAAATCTTTTCTTTTAATTACATTTATATTAAAAATAAATAATAATAAAATAAAGAAAGATAAAAAAAGTTTTCTTTATTAAAATTATGATTAAATTAATTTAATTGAATTTAATTAAAAAACAACAATTTGCATCGATTATACAAGTTTAATTTATCTCATTAAACAATCTTCAAAAATTCAATTGTTAAAAAAATGACAACATAGAAACTATATAACTTATTAATTAATTAATTTTTCTATTTACAATTGAAAAAGAGAATTTTTAAAAAGGAGAAAGTATAAATGCTGCCACCTACCGTGCAAAGTCGGCGACTCAATTTCTTTATCGACTATCAATTTGGATGTCACTAGAAAATTCCCTAGCCTGTCAAACTCACTTACGCGAACATTTTAAACTTTATTTATTTAATAATAACACGTTATAATTTATCACAAATACAGCACAAATCAATCACTAAATACTTTTATTATTCAATTCAATTACACTTTTCCACAGTTTCCACTCAGTTTCTACACAATTTTCACTCCAACTAAATGTTTAACCAATGTGTAACGAATGTACAACGAATTCAGCGCCATATATTGAGATTTGTAATTATTGTAAAAGATCCTGTATATAAGCTTGTACTTTATTTTAAAAGGTGCTTCGGTATATTTAAGTTTACCAACATCTTTTAATATATCCAGTTTATTAGTTTGATTTTCAAAAAAGTTTTTTGTTAAATTTTATTTTTGATCTTTGATCATAGGAATTTTAAGAGTATCGTGTAAAGGCACTCTCACACCTTTTTGGCTGCCTGCAGGTTACCATGGCAACGCATGAGAGTGAGTGCGACAGAAAATTTAAAAATTTGAATATTCAAATTTTCTGTCTCACTCACACTCGTACGTTGCCATGGTAACCTGCAGGCAGGCAGGCAGCTAAAAAGCTGTGAGAGTGCCTTAATGATATTTAGGTCTTCATTGCATCCAAAATATTCAATAAAAACTGATTTCAGTCTTACAAAAAAAATAAACTTTTAGTTCAAGTAAAACTATTGTATACATAACCAATAATTCATTTGCTTCTAAGGTCCCTTTCTTCAGATCGCGTCACACATATTTTCGTTAGAATATGAATTACCAATATTGTTCGAACAAATTTTTATTTTCATAAATTTCGAACCGGAAAAGAAATAAATATTTAAAGAAACTGATAAGCAGTTAAATTTAAAGGATCAACAATATTTTTTCAAAATATGTACCATGTAAATTTTCCTTATTAATAAAGAATATTTACTTGATATTCATTTATTTTATTTATTTACTTTCAACAAAATTTTGTTGTTTCAAAATAAATGTAAATTTTTCTCGTTGAGAATTATAATTTATAATTATAATGACATTTTTCATCTTTTATGTTACAACTTTTCAATAAATATTTTAAAAAACAATGTTTTTTTAGAAATATTTTATTCTTCAATATTTTTAGAGATAAGTTGTCTACAGTGGATAATTTTTGTTTGTTATTTCACATATGTAATTATTCTTCGCTGGCTTTTTTGCAAAATATTTGATAGATTCAGATAAAATTTTGTGGAAAACTCTAAATAGTATATGGAATCGTTATTATGTGTCAGAGTATTAATATTTTATCAAAAAAATTTATTTTTAAAAAATTGCATAGATTGAGGATTTAATATGGCGGCAATACTAATTTAGTAATTGCCACAAATATGTAAATATAAAATTTGTTTATAACTTCTTTTTTAAATTTTAATTTGACAACAATTATTCAACTGTAATATTATTAGTAAATACATTTTAAAAAACTCCTGTACTTTTATTTTATACGGAAATGTCTTTTTTGTGTCGGAAAATTGAAAATAAGTCAATTATATAAATTTTACAAGGGGAACAACATATAACCTCAAAAAGTAACATTTACTTATTTTTCCAGTAAATGGAAATAATAATAATAAACCACTACTACGGGGTTATTATGACTCAAATTTTGAGTTTACATGACTCAAATAAAAATATTTTTTTATGATAAAAAATTGCGATAATAGCTCCGGTTGACAGTTTATAAAAATGGTACACTAGCAAATTGTTAGCTTGCTACGTCAAAAACAGTATTTTCGATTTTTCTTTTTAGAAATAATGAATCGACGTAGATTAAATTTTTTGACATTGTCACAAAATGAAATAATTTATATTTCTTTTATTTTATTCTTTTATTCTAATTTTGAAGAATTTACAATTTTCCGGAAGTTATATATAATGAAAATAAGGTAAAAATTAAAAATGAAACTTTATAATGTTTTTGTTATCTATAATTTATAAAGTTTATGAAATTTCTTTTTCAGAAAGGTCGTGATTCAAGAGCCAAGAAGTGATAATCAGAAATTATGTGTTATAATTGAGCCTTATCGATAGAATTATTCCATTCCTATTTTTTTTTAAATTTTTTATTCATTGTATTATGCTACTTATAAACGAATTTGTAATTTACTATTTTACTGCATTATTGGAATTAACGGCTTCAATCATAATGTATAAGGGAAGAAAAAATTTTATTCTCAAAATTTCTTTCTGCTTGATTTTCATTGTGACGCCACTTTTTGCTCAAGGTACAGAAAAAATATACAATAAATTGAAAAAAATTTTAAATTGCTTATTAAAATTTTTTAACTACAATTTATTTTTTATTATTTTATTATACAGAATGATTTTTATGTTGCGGACCCCTTTAATTTTTTTTTCGTTTTTTATAATAAAAATGTTCAGGTGGTCCGGAAATATATATTTCCAAGAAGTTTCAATGAAAAATGAAATGAATTATAAAACAATTTTTAATAATTTTTCTCTATTTAAAGATAAATGTGATAAAACTAAATGTCCTGGTCCATTAAAATTTTACGAAGAAGTCAAGTGTAAACCAATTTACAAAACACCTGACGATTGTTGTGCCGTGAAATATGATTGTTCTCATATTGAAAAAAGATTCAAATCAAAAAAATGTTATGTACATGACAATGTTTATGAGGTCGGTGAGAAATTGAAAGAAGAAGACTCATTGCCTTGCAGTCGTGAGTGCATTTGTTTAGAAAATCTACCGGAATTGTAAGTTATTTTTTATTATTAATTTTCTTAAAAAAAATTAATAATTTTTATAGAATAATTACAAAATTATAATTTTGTTTTAACATTCGGGAATAGGTTTTGATTTCGTTTAAGTTTTAACTTTACGTTCTTCATCCCAATTACTATTTGTTGTGATTTACATATAATTATTTTGTAATCGTATAATAATTAAATTAATTTATTTATTAATGTTTTGAGAAATATTTATTTAAATTTTAAACTTTATTATCTCTAGAATTGGATTCAATTGCGCAATAATAGATTGTTTTGAAAGACCACCTAAGGAGGGATGTTATAGGGAAAATTCTCCAGATCAATGCTGTTCAGGTCGAGAAATTTGTCGTAAGTTTATATTATTTCAAAAAATTTCGTTTCTAAAATTTAATTCAATTTCAATGAATAAATTTTTCAATTATATATTTCTTTATTTGTATAGCTACAAATCCTGCAGTTTGTCTTGTTGATGGTAAAACATTAAAAGAAGGTGATTACTTTGAACCAAAAGATATGCCAAATCTCTCATGCTATTGTAAACCAGGATATACAGGTAAATTTGTTTTATAACTTTTAAAAATACAAAACAAAAATTTTTTACATGAAAAATTTATAAATTTTTAATAAACTTTAACCCTCTTCTTTTTTTTTAAATAATACATTTTTTATTCTCATTATTTTATTAAATTATTCTAATTATTATTTTGTGTTCCAGGCGAAAATGTTGAACCCTTCTGTCATGATCCAAATAAAAAATCATGTGGAATTGAACTCAGACATAGCTATGAATTAAAAGAAAAATGTGCTCCAATTTATAACTATCAAGAGTCTCTGCAAACTTCTTGCAATACTTTTTTCAGATGTCGTAAGTAGATGTATTTAAATATTAAATAATATTTAATTAATTAATTAAGTGGCAGACAACTAAAAAAATTAACACTGGAAAAATATCGAACATTTTTAAAAAACAGCTTGTTCTATTTTTTTTTTTGTTTCTTGGCAGTTTTAAAAATATAAAGTCTTCAACCCCTCTGATATATCATTTAAAATACATTAATTTTATCATTTTTAAATAAATATTAATAATTAATATTTTAATTAATATTAATATTAGCTGAAGAAAATGACACACTTATTTCCTCCTCAACAAAGGAAGATGACAAAAATTCTACTGATGAATCGGGTAAGTAAAAATTGGTCATTTAAAAAACGTTTTTTCAATATAAAATTTTTTTCTATTTCCAATGTATTAAAAGAAAATAAAAATTATTTTCATACGACCAGGATGCAAACAAAATTAATTTTGCTTATTTTTATTACTTAAAACTATAAAAAACATTTTTTTACTCAAAAATGGTAGATTTCATTGAAATATATTTTTTATATTTCTATATTTTATCAAAAAAAAAAAAAAAACTATAAATTTTGGGTCTTTTTTTAAATAATTTTTATCATGAAAATATCTACACGTATACATAATTATAATTTTTACTCTTTTTTTTTATTTTTAGATACTTGCACATTTGGAAAAATTGTCATGAAAATTGGTGATGAACTTAATCAGAAAACGGACGATATGTACAAATGTATGAAATGTAAATGTGAAGTACCACCAACTCCTACCTGTCGACAAATTTCTGATAAACCATGTGATGTATCATAAACTGATTAATTTTTTTTTTAATATTAGATTAAATACATCAAAATTAAAATTAATCTATAAATTAAAAAAAAATCTCCTAAAACAATAAGAAAGTTGTATAGTTAATAAATCAAATTAAAAATTGAATCTACTTAATAAATAAATCAATTAATTTAATAAAATTATATTGTTTAGGAAGTATCAATTTTCTTCTTGACAATATTTAGTATTTAAAATTATAATTTAATTTAAAATATTAAAAAACAATAAAATTTATTAATAATTTATAAAATAATTTCGAAATTCTGAAAAAATTTAAATTTAAACTTCTCTTTTATTGCTGACAATATTTTATAAGCTTTTTTCAAACTTCTGAATAATCAATCGTATGAATTTTGAAAAAAACAATATATATACTTTTAGATTCTAAACAATGACAAAAAAAAAATTAATTTTCATAGGTTGAAATTTCACCGGTCCCTCCCCTTAATTCAAAGTAAAATCTTTATGAAGATTTAAAATTATTTCAATTATTATAAGATTTTTTTGTATTCACATGTTAATGTTAAAAAGATTTCTGTATTGAAATTTCAAGGAAAAAATCACAGAATATTTTACAATTGGCTTTTCAGAATTATTTAAATTAAATTTAAATAAAACATAAGAAAAAAAGATTTGATAGAAGATAACGTTAAATACTTACAAAACAGGTTTTAAACAAAGTTTTTCTGGTTTTCTTTTGTTAATAAATGATTATTGAAAAATTTTTTTTGAACATTTTTTACAAAGATTTATATTATCACATATTTTTATTTTATATATGAAAATACAGAACTCGAGATATTTGAGAATTACAAATTTTTATTGTTTTTAAAAATAAAATTCCTTTATAAATTAATTATAAATGTAATTATAGAGAAAAATAGAAATTCATTAAAATTTTTTTAAATAATAAAAAAATTTGTATGTATAAAAAAATTGAAACATATGTCTTGAATTAATTGCTTTATATTTAATGAAATAAATTTTTTTTTTTGGATAAGTAATTACAAATTGTAATTTATATTTTATTATATAATACAAAAAAATAAATAAAAATTTTTTTTTGTGTATTTCTATAAATTCTAATTTAGGAAATAAAGAAACGTTTTACTGACGTTTGTCAAGGAACAAGGTCAAAATGGAGAGAAATATATATGTCATAGTTCAATGTTATCATGATTAATTTGTGAAATAGTAATAATTGTATTTCACTGTCTCGTCCTCAAGATCAATTTTCGTAGTCCCGCCGTACTGATCGTTCCACCACAGTAATTTTAAAACTCAAGAGTTTTTGGCGCCTTCGGTAGGTGTCGCCCTTGTCGTACTTCCCTTTTCCGTCATTACGTTGTTCTGTGCGTTCCACGACACATCGTTTCAAGTGAAACCAAAAAAAAAAAAAAAAAATAAATAATAATAATAATGAAATCATCATCGGATAGCAGCTCATCTAGTGAAGAGGATCGTCGTCGACACAAAAAGAAAAAGAAAAGTTCATCGCTTAAAAAATTGGAGAAGAAGTTCAGAAAGTTAAAAAAGGACTTGAAAAAAGCAAAGCACAAACGGCGTTCACTCAGCAGAAGCTCGTCACGTTCAACATCGGAATCTCGCAGTGAGTATTCAAGATCTGAACAAGGATCACCACGTTCCAACAGCCCGAGCATAGAGCGCATCCCGAGAGGAGCGTCGAATGACGGGGCGGAACATGATCGCGATCGAGAGCGACGCACATCCAGGTCCGAGCACGCTAGACGGCGGAGCCTAGAGCGTTATCCGCGAGATGCGTCTGGTTCGCGCCTTGGTGCAAATGAAGACGAAGAGCGTAACCGGAGAGGTACGTCGCGTCATTCTCGTAACCGCTCTAGATCCAGGAGTCTGATATCCCTTCAAGGACGCAGAGTCATAGTAAATAAACAGACCACAGATGGCGCAGCGAGCAATTCTCAAATGGTAAACAACGAAAGTGAGTTTCTAAAGTTGCTGACAGATGGCGCTGCGGAGGAAACTCCTCAAAGTGCACCTCTTCATGATTCGATAGTTGAGTCATGGTCGAAAATATTGAAGTCAGGACTTCCTAAAGAGACAAAACAAACTCTAATAAAAAAATATAATACGCCAGCTAATTGTCGCACAATTGGTGCTCCAATTTTAAATGCAGAAATTAAATCTGCTATGAGCACATCTGCTATCAAAAAGGATCAACACCAAGTGCGCGCTCAAACTCAGCTGGGAGCAGCAATTAGCGCAGTGGGACAAGTCCTGACAACATTTTTAGAGGCCAAAAAAGCTACAAAAGAACTCGAAAAGAATGAAATTTCTCAAGTTTTTCAAACCATCTGTGACATAGGCAAGATTCTTACTGACTCACATCACGATACATCAATTACTCGCAGGTCCTTCATCACTCCTTCCTTCAGTATGCGATTAAAAACAATCGCTGACGAGACAGGAGTCGATACTTTCCTGTTCGGAGAAACATTGGGAGAAAAACTTAAGGCAGCGAAAGAATGTGAGAAAAGTGGAAAAGATATAACTAGATCTGCTGTGGTCAATACATTTAAAGGATTTACAAACAAGGATAAACCATCCACCTCATCAAAAAATCATTTAAACTGGAAACCCCCCTCCAAGAAGTACAATCAACGGACATCCTCGAGGAAGGGGGGACAACAATGGAATCGGACAAATCATCGACAGTCCAACGACAGTCGGAGAAAATAAAGGTGAGTAAAACTGCAGGTCGCTTAAAATTTTTCACAGAAAAATGGAAGGAAATAACCAATGATCCTTTCATAGTGAACTGCGTCACAGGGTATAAAATACCCTTTTGCGATTCCCCGTGTCAAATGTCAGTACAAATGGCCCCTTCATTAACAACTGAGGAGGAAGTTAGAACACAAAAAGCCATTACTAAACTCATGCAAATCGGGGCAGTAGTTTGCACTAAACCCTGTAAAAATCAATTTTTGTCGTCATATTTTTTGAGGCAAAAGCCAAGTGGTGAGGATCGATTCATCCTGAACCTTAAAAAATTGAACAAATTCATATCAACCTCACATTTCAAAATTGAGGATATGAAAACCGTTCTTCGCCTTATCAGTAAAAACTACTTTATGGGTGTAATCGATCTCATAGATGCATATTTAATGGTGCCAGTCGCTGTAAAACATCGCAAGTTCCTTCGATTCAATTTTAATAATGAAATTTATGAATTTCAGTGTTTGCCGTTTGGGTTGTGTACAGCGCCATTCACCTTTACCAAGCTGCTCAAGCCTGTCATTGAAAAACTAAGAAAATTAGGCATTTTAACAGTAATATACCTTGATGATATTCTCATTTTAGCTAGGTCACAGGAGGAGTGCAGGAAAAATATTCAAATTACGCGATCACTCTTGGAATCTCTAGGGTTCTTGGTAAGTGAGAGTAAAAGCCAACTCACTCCTTCACAACGGTGTACTTTTCTAGGCTTCATACTTGACAGTAAAAAATTTCGAGTAGAGCTACCCGATAAAAAACGTGTCTCTATCTATCAGTTTGTCCTTAGATTTCTAAAAGATAAAAAATGTACCATAAAAGAATTAGCTCAGTTCATTGGCATGTTGGTAGCAGCTTGTCCGGCGATCAAATATGGCTGGTTATACACTAAGAGATTAGAGAGAGAAAAATTCTTATCGCTAGAAAAATCAAATAATAACTATAAAGCTAAGATCACGCTATCAAACCTGGTTCAGTCCGATTTAGAATGGTGGGCTGAAAACATAAAAAAATCATGTAACCCAATTAGGGAAAATAATTACAGAAAAGAAGTATTCACAGACGCATCCTTGACAGGATGGGGTGCTTTCTGTGAAGGTAAGAAAGCCTGTGGGTTATGGAATGCTGATGAACGCAACCTTCATATAAATTCATTAGAACTCATGGCTGCATTCATGGGTCTCAAATGCTTTGTTAAAAACGACAAAAATTGTGAAATCTTGCTCAGAATGGACAATACGACGTCCATTGCTTACGTTAATAGAATGGGAAGCATTCAACACCCACGACTATCACAAATCGCGCGTCAGATTTGGAATTGGTGTGAGGAGCGTGGCCTATGGTTACATGCAACATACTTACCGTCTAAAGAAAATAAAGAAGCAGACGAGGGATCGCGAAGTTTACCAAAAGAAACGGAGTGGGAATTAGCTCCCTGGGCATTTAGTAAAATTAACCAAACTTTTGGACCTTTCGACGTGGATCTCTTTGCCTCAAGGGCAAATGCCAAATGCGAAAACTATGTCTCATGGCATAGAGATCCCGACTCAATGCAAATAGACGCGTTCACTATGAACTGGAAATATTATCATTTTTACGCATTTCCTCCTTTTTCTGTAATTTTACAAACACTGAAAAAGATTCAGACGGATGAAGCGGAAGGTGTTGTTGTAGTGCCCTTGTGGCCTACACAACCGTGGTATCCGCTGTTCACGTCTTTGATAGTTTCAGAAAAAATTCTTTTTAAACCACAATTAACTTTATTATCTTCTCCTCACAGGAAAACGCACCCTCTGTGTCACAATCTTTCCCTGGTAGCAGCGTGTTTATCAGGGAAGCATTCAAAATGAGAGGTGCCACAGAAGAAGCCGCGGAGGTGATGCTGAATTCCATCAGTGCAGGTACTTTGCGCCAATACAGCAAACCCCTTAAATCATGGTGGAATTATTGTCAGGAAGGAAACAATGATCCATACGACGTCGCAATTTCGGATGCTCTGAATTTTTTCACGACAACCCTGGAGAGTGTCAATTCCTTCAGCACAATCAATACTTATAGAGCGGCATTATCTCTTATTGCAGGTGGCGACTTAGGAAATAACAAACACATTTCACGGTTTTTTAAAGGAGCAGCAGTGCTAAAGCCTAAGAAATACAAATATGATGTAACGTGGGATCCAAAGCCTGTATTAAATAAATTAACCACCTGGTATCCTCATGAGGGCCTGACCTTAGAGATGTTAACAAAGAAATTAGTGACGTTATTAGCACTCACTACAGCGCAGCGGATACAAACATTGACCGTAATAAGGCTAGAAAATATCAATTTAAATTCGGAACCTGTCAGAATTAAAATAACGGATCCTATAAAAACATCAAGTCGCAGCAAGTTTCAGCCGAGCTTAGAAGTTCCAACTTTTACGGAACAACCTGAGTTATGTGTAGTAACAACTTTACGCGACTACATAGAAAGAACGACAGCACTAAGAAAAGGTGCATCAAGTACTGGAAATTTGTTCTTGACTTATAAAAAGCCTCACCATCCAGCCACGTCGCAGACACTGAGCAGATGGATAAAAGAAATACTGGAAAAAAGCGGAGTCAACACAAAAATATTTTCAGCCTATAGTACACGCCACGCAGCGACTTCAGCGGCAGCCCGGAAAGGGACAAATATAGAAATAATTCGTCGTGCAGCTGGATGGTCTGCAACGTCCTCAATGTTCGCCAGGTTTTACAACCGGCCATTAGCAGATTCAACGACTTTCGCATCGACTATTTTACAAAAATAATCTCAAACCGATTTCAAATAATACTCTTTTTCATTTACATATGTGCATAATATTTTTTCTTTTCAAAAAAAAAAAAAAAAACCTCGTTTTCTGTGTTCTTGTAATCTTAATTACAATGAGTGATTAATAAATATATATTCAATATAAAAATAGCATAAATTCGCATACAAACTTTAAACAACTACGAAAATTGATCTTGAGGACGAGACAGTGAAATACAATTGAAGGATTGAACGAACTTACCTTAAGTGAAGATCAATCCAAATTGTATGAGCTGTCTCGTCCGAATAGATCAAACCCTCCCTACCCAAAATATTCAAAATAAAATACCCAGTGCGATTTATGCTAAACTTTAAAATATAATGACGGAAAAGGGAAGTACGACAAGGGCGACACCTACCGAAGGCGCCAAAAACTCTTGAGTTTTAAAATTACTGTGGTGGAACGATCAGTACGGCGGGACTACGAAAATTGATCTATTCGGACGAGACAGCTCATACAATTTGGATTGATCTTCACTTAAGGTAAGTTCGTTCAATCCTTCAATTCTATTAGCTCTTGCATTTAGATACTGAATCATCTTCAATTCTCTCGACATTATATTCAATGTGTGTTGAGAAAAGAAAAATTTACATTCCCTTTCTTTTTAAATAGTTTATTGTTTTGTGTGTGAGTATATATATAAAGCAAGTTTTTATTTCATTCTGTAATGTGCACATGTTGCCAGTGATTGTAATTTAAAGATATTATGTATAAACGGAGTGTGCCTCTCATTCACATAAGCTTCTGCTTTGTTTTTGTGGTATATACACTTGCTGAAAAAGGTGATATGATTAATTTTTAACAGCCCAGAAAAAAAAAAAATTAATCCAAAGAAATTAAAAAAATTTTCGTTTTTTTAATTCTTGAAATTTATATATTTAATATTTTTTATACATGTTTTGAAAATTATTTCTTGGGATTTATAATTTTTGCAGAGTGTGATAAAATCAAATGTCCTGGACCATTGAGTTTTTACAAGGACTTGAGATGTGTGCCAATTCACAAAAATCCTGAGGATTGTTGCGCAATTAAATATGATTGCTCACATCTCAAGGATAGATCCACATCGAAATGTTACGTAAATGACAATATTTATCAAATTGGAGAAGAATTGAAAAAAGAGGATGCTCAACCTTGCGATACTGATTGTATATGTGAAGAAGGATATGGAGGAATGTAAGTTTTTCATTTTCTATAACAAAAGTAATAATAAATTTTATTAATAAATTATTTATTTAAACATACATACGATTTTAATTCGTACAAAAAAGAGTACTAGAAAGAATTTTACAAATAAAAGTTTTATAATTAATAAAATTATAAATTTTTCAATAGAGCTTCATTTTCATGCGCAGAAGTCGATTGTGGCTACCATGAACCTGTTAACGATGGATGTTACATTGATCAATCGTCAGATCAGTGCTGTCCAGATCGAATTATTTGTCGTAAGTATTGTTAAAAAAAATTAATATACAAATTTTTGAATATTCCATAAATTACAATGATTGTCTTATATTTAAAAAAAACATATAAATTATCTTTAATTATAACATTGCGATCCAAAAAATTAATATAACAGATAAAATAAAGTAAAAAACAAAATTCTAAACTGTATTTTAATTTTTTTACTATTTTGAATAACTTTATACTATTACTTACGAATTAAAAAATTAATAATTTAAAATTATTAATTAATTTTATTTATTTACAAGATTTTCTCTTACAGCCGATAATCCAGCAACATGTCTGGTTGATGGAAAAATTCTAAAGGAAGGTGATTATTTCGAAATCAAAGACCAGCCGAATACATCCTGTTACTGTAAACCAGGATACACGGGTATATATTATCGTTTCCATATTATTATCCTTTATAAACATAAGTTCTGAGAATTAGATAAAATTAGTATAATTTTAATAAATAATTCAGTTGAACAGTAGAAAATAGAATTTTTAACAATTTTTTTTTTCCAGGAGAAAATGTCGAGCCATTCTGTCACACTCCGAAGGGTAGTTTTTGTGGAACCGAAATGAGAAACAGTTATGAAATCCGTGAAAAATGTGCTCCTGTTTATTATTATACACAATCACCTCAAACATCGTGTAGTGTTTCTTACAGATGTCGTAAGTACAAATGTGACCTTCAAAATTTTCGTTTAATAATTCGTATAGCATATTTTTGAACAACTAAAGATTATAAATTAAATTATTAATTACATAGTTAATATTATTTTAACATTTTCGTTACAAAGAAATATAAAATAAAATTAATATTTCAGAAAACAAGAACGACACTCTAATTTCGCATCCTGAAACACGAAATGGTTTAGATAGTGACAAAATCAGTAAGTATTATTTATTTATATTTATTTTTATTATTTAAATCTATATATAGGGTCAATCCATTATATTTCGACTGAAGTCGTCGCTGACTAATTTTTAAAAATTATAATACTTTGCAAGAATGATTTTGAAGTTATCAAGATCACGAAATGAAAAGAATTTTATTAAAATTTTAATTATTTATTGCAAAATATGAATTTAAAGTTTATGAGGTGCTGAAAACTGTCAATTTTTTAGCCATTAGAAAATATGCAAAAAAAACAGAATTTACCATAAAAATAAAAAAAATTGTTGTAATTTACTAAGAATGAATAAATTTATCATTATCAATTGATATAATTATTTAAATATGTAAAATAATATATACAATATGATTTTCAAGTTCGCCTGTCAAATAACCTAAATTTGCAAATTTCATCTATTAAATGTGAGAAAGAGAAGTCATTAAATTGAAAAAAACCTTACCAAATATAAAGTACCTGTGACTAACTTTTAGTTTTTCTTAGCACTTTTTTCCTTTTTTCTTCATAAATGTGAAATAAAAAGCAATAAAAATTGGCACTTTGCTTATTTTCACTATTTTCAAATGTAAATAACTTTCTTGGCGAAAACTGAAAAATTACAAAACTTGGGCAATATCTAATTGATCACTAAATACACACTGGAAAAAAATTCGCTTTGGTCCCGAAGATACTTTTTGAGATAATTAAGTTTAAACTTTTCACAATTTTTATCAGGTTAATGCATGTGATTTTTATAAAATTGAAGTTAGTTCAAAATGTTTAACCAATAAAACCTAACTTCGTCCTTAAAAAACTACATGTATTAACCTGATATAAATTGTGAAAAGTTTAAACTTAATTATCTCAAAAAGTATCTTCGGGACCAAAGCGAATTTTTTTCCAGTGTGTGTAGTTAGTGATCAATTAGATATTGCCCAAGTTTTGTAATTTTTCAGTTTTCTTCAAGAAAGTTATTTACATTTAAAAATAGTGAAAATAAGCAAAGTGACAATTTTTATTGCTTTTTATTTCACATTTATGAAGAAAAAAGGAAAAAAGTGCTAAGAAAAACTAAAAGTTAGTCACAGGTACTTTATATTTGGTAAGGTTTTTTTCAATTTAATGACTTCTCTTTCTCACATTTAATAGATGAAATTTGAAAATTTAGGTTATTTGACAGGCGAACTTGAAAATCATATTTTATATATTATTTCACATATTTAAATAATTACATCAATTGATAATGATAAATTTATTCATTCTTAGTAAATTACAAAATTTTTTTTTTATTTTTATGGTAAATTCTACGTATTTTTGCATATTTTCTAATGGCTAAAAAATTGACAGTTTTCAGCACCTCCTATACTTTAAATTCATATTTTGCAATAAATAATTAAAATTTTAATAAAATTCTTTTCATTTCGTGATCTTGATAACTTCAAAATCATTCCTGCAAAGTATTATAATTTTTAAAAATTAGTCAGCGACGACTTCAGTCGAAATATAATGGATTGACCCTATAAAAAATTTTTTTTATATATTTTTTTTAATGGATAAAAATAAATAAAAATATAAGAACGTTAAAAATTAACTGAATTTAATTTTAGATGCATTACAAATCTAAAAATTAAATTAATTATATAATAAATTAAATTTGTCAAGTGTCGAAAATAAAACGCATTTAATTTTAGTTTAGTAAATTTACAAACGACGAAAATTTGACACATAAAAATTACAAATTTTTTTATTAAAAAAGTAGAATAGAATTTATCAACATTTTTTTACCCTTTCATTTCTTTAAAATTAAAATTAGGTAAAGTTTTTATTTTTAAAATTGTGAATACTTGAATAATTTAATATTATAAACGCAGTGGCTATTTGGCCAGTGCACTGGCCAAATAAGGTGGTTTAATTATTCGGCCAGTGCACTGGCCGAATAATATGGTTTCACAATTTGGCCAGTGTGTCAATAAAATCACAATTAATATCCAAAGCTGGCCAAATAAAAAGGGAACACTATTTGGCCAGTTAAAAAAAATAGATTTTTAATATATTAATATGTTGACTAACAGACGTTTTGATATAAATTAATGAAATTAATATAATGCTTGTCCCCTCAACATAACCTCGAACTCCAATTTATAAAAATTGGATAAATGTTACGTTTCGTGTGTAACTTTAAAAAAACACAAAATATTAATTATTATTTTTAAAAAATCTTTAACTCAAAATAATTTTTTCTTAAAATTGTACAACTGGATTTTTCAAAACTGGGGGAAATCAATTTTAAATATTTTTAGTTCTATTATAAATTATCTTTTAGTTTTAGGTTACAATACGCCTTTTAATCTAGAAAAAAGATGTTATTTAATTTATTATTTTATTTTTCAATTTATTTTATTTATTTAAAATCATTTTTCCAATTCACATTAACAGACAACAGATTGTACGACTTTTGCCTTTTTTAAAATTTGAATAATTTTTAGTTATATTTTTTTAAAAATGATTGCGTAAGTTTAAATCTTGGAAATTGTGTAAAATTTGTTTTAAATTTAAAAATATCGTAAATTTTTTTCTGTTCAATTATAAAATATGAAAAAAATATATTCTTAAAATTTTTTGTATAAATTATTTTTAATAAATAAAGCATTATTATTTATTTAATATTGTTTAATCGTAATAGTGTGATTAATCGAACTTGTGTGAATAAACATAATTTAAATTTACGCGGCTTATTTTTTCTGAGTAACTACGTGAAACAAATAGTTTTCAATTATTTAATTAATTATAAACAAATATCGAACAGCTGCGTTTATACCTGATGAGGGTTTTATTAATACACTGGCCAAATTGTGAAACCATCTTATTCCGACAGTGTACTGGCCGAATAATTAAACCACCTTATTCTGCCAGTTTTTCTCTACAACATAGAAATGCCCTGTTTCTCGTCACTGGCTGAATAATTAAACCACCTTATTTGGCCAGTGAACTGGCCGAATAGACACAGCGTATTATAAAATGGAAAATAATATCAGATTAAAAAAAAAATATATTTTTTTTTGTTAATAGAAAATTAAGGAAATCATATAAGTAATCGATTTTACATTATTTGTTTTACAGATACTTGCAAATTTGGAAATATTGTCATGCAGATCGGTGATGAACTTAATCAAGCAACGGATTATAGTTCCGTTTGTGTAAAATGCAAATGTGAAGTTCCACCAATTCCTACTTGTCAACGACTTTCTGATGATGAATGTGATGTCACTATTCATCCAAAGTTTGAGTCCAATTATTGAAAATTATTACATATTAATGTAATTTTAGATAATAGTGAAATTAAGTGTAAGTTATTGAATACAACATTATTTTTCTCAATTTATATTTGAAAAAGACGAATATTTAGAACTTGAAAAAAATTTATAATGCATAGTACAAAGAATTGATAATTTAAAGTAAAATATGACGATTTGTATATCATTATTAAGATAAATAATTTTTTACTTTCAGGTGAAGAGAATTTTCCACATATTTACACGTAGCTTTTTTTTTAATTTGAACAGTATTATAATTATATTTTTCTGTTAATCGTAAATCAGAAACCTGCAGAAAGCAATAACAAAAAAATGTTTTGATAAAAATTGTTTTTATGAAAAAAGTCTTTGTTTATATGTATAATTAACGATAAAAATAAATTTTTAAAAATTCTTCACTTCTAATTTTTGTAAAATTGTTATTGAAATGCTTTTGCAGGTGTACGTGTGTTATCGTTATCAAAATATATATGATGATATACAAATAAAAAACTTGTTGATTTATTTAAAAGAAAAACAATAAAACGTTTGCTTTTATAAGGGAACCTCCATGAATTCCCCTTTGGAATCGAACACATGTTTAGGGCCAAAGCACAGAAGAATCGCGAACGAGATATATGCGTTAGAAAAGGACAGCTACATATTTGTGTGAAATTCCATGGCCGTTTCCGAATTGGAATTTTTAGCGCATATGCATTTAAAAATTTATTTATGCATTTTTCGGACGGAAAAACAAGGACACTGCATACTTCCCGAGTATATACTTTATCAAAAAAGCGCTAAAAATCCCAATTCGTAAACGGCCCATGTGTGGGTTTTTCTAGTAGAGGGAAGCCCAAAAAATATCGCGTCATTAAATTCTCAACTCCTATTGGGATCTGTTATGAAAACAACTGTGTTGTTACCCATAAGCGTAGCTTGGAATAGTCGTTTCGTCCGGTCCCCACCAGGGATGGGTAAGTATTATACGTGACGTATTATACGTGGTTTTCTACACGTATAATACGTGGTTTTCTACACGTATAATACGTGGTATTATACGTCTTTAGTTTTCTACGTATGTCACGTATAATACTTAGATCACGTGACGCGCGCGATTTTTAAATTTTAGAAAGTGAAAAATGTGATTTTAATAATTTATTTCACAAAATTTTCAAGTAATTTCTATTTAACAATTTATTAATTAATATGATCTGATTAAATAACTGAAAATGGAATGTTACATCCGAAAAAGAATTTTCCCAAATATAAATCCATATCTTGAGGAGTTTTTGTGTTTTGCGATTCCTGTAAAATAAAACCGGTATAATAATTTTTAGAATATAAATATAAGTAAATACAAATTATATTAATGGTATCGTATAAGCATAATTTTAATTAACAATATAGAAGTTTATTTTTACTTATTTTTTTCATGGAAAAACCTTTGAATAAAAAATAATAAAAATACATATTTAAATTAATTTACAAGGTTTTTTAAAATTCCAATAACTTTTTTTATTCTAATTAGAGTAAGTGTACTAATTATGGCGAGTGCACCAATTACGGCGCGTTCATAAAAAATAACTATTATTACTATTATATTGAATATAACTGTTGCCAAATGATTAAAAAAAATTATTTTAATCTTTTTTTGATACAAATACTTATAAAGATGCACATTTAAACAATTATTAATTTAATTATTTGAGATCAAATTTTTTTCCGCGCCGCAATTGAAACATTTTTAAGATTTCCATTGGCTTCAATTTCGGCGGGCAAAGTATCTTCAAAATACACGTAATTTCGGTCACCGAAATTGATACACCGAAACTGATACAAACTCGCCGCAATAGAAAATTACGGTATTAGTTTTAATTTCTCATATTTGTTTAAATAATCGATTTTTATAGAGTTAAAAATTTTTTTTAATATCTTAATAACATAAGCTTTAAGTTTAATAAGTCTTAACTTGAGTTTATACAATAGAAATGTCGAATTTTCTATTTCAAAGGTGTTTTGACTCGAATCTCGCCGCAATTAGTGCATTTACCCTAGTACAGGTAAAAGCAGGTTAAAATTAAAAACCAAATGAAAAAGCATTCTTGGCTACAATTGAATATAAAAAGAGGGAATTTGTATATCTGTTATTGTTATTATCAATTAACAGCTGTTTATCCATATGTGCGCATGTGCAGAACGAGACACGTATAATACTCAGGTTTTCTACGTTTTCTACGTATAATACGTAGAAAATGTATTATACGTAGAAAACCTCGAAAAACTCACTTTTACCCATCCCTGGTCCCCACTAGTGGACTCATCAGTAAGGCTGTAACGCTGTGCTGTTACCAACCATCAGGGTTGGGTAACTTGACGTATTTTATCTTAATAAATAATTAATAATAATATTTCATTTTATTTATTTAAGCACTAAGACATAGTTATTAGTTCCCAATTGAGAGAAAAAGAGAGAGAGAGAGAGAAGGGAAGGAAAAGCGAATTGACTGGATAAGAATAAAAGTATATATGTATAGTATATGTATAAGAATATGTTTATAGATATGTTTGTGTATATGTATATATGTGAGTTAGTATGAAATTCGATAAAATGAGTATGGTGGAAGGTTATGTATGACTCATGCCGTAAATGACCGTTTGTAAATGTCAAGGACACTCTTTAAAATACGCAAACAAGATCGTGACTCTTTATTCGTATTTTAGTACAAAAACTGCGTTTTATGGACACCTGCGCAAGCACACCTGCATCTAAGATCAAAATAGAGGAGAATACTCCTATAAAAGAATGAGGACCGAGAGCAGAATTCAGAGAGTAGAAGACGAAGTAGAAGAAGAAGATTCTTGATAATTCACGGTTTTCGTAGCAAAGAATATTCTAAAGTTAATATTGCGTAGTCAAATGTCTTGAGAGAATCTTAGAAAGATTTAATTTAATACAACTCAGATTCAGTTAATTACTGAATAAAACAATTAGTGATTTTATATGAAATTTAATTGTGTTTTTATATTTAATTCCTCTCAACAAGTTAATCCTTTAGGATTTTAATGAGATTCGGACTCAATCAATAAAACTATAGTGAAGTTAAAGAATTGGTATAAACAATTAACATTCTTAATAAGTGAACTATTAAAAAAATGTTTATACTAATTGTGTTGTGAAAACACCTTTAAACCAACCGTTGGTTGTTCCTACACTGCCATCTACAAAATCATATTCCTGATCATTCAGTTTTGTGTCAGCAAAATTGTAGACGGACTATTATATAGTTTCATATTCCTGCGTGTTACAAGGCTACGTAGTGGGAAACCTGCCTTATACGACCATGGGGAAGTGAGAGTTGGATCGTATATATATGCTACACGCCAGGCCAGTCTTGCCAGATTAGGAATTTTATTCCTAGATTTAGGAATAATTTAAGGAGTCAGGAGCATTTTCAGGAGTACAAATATTTTAGGAATTTTTTTAGAAGAAAATTTTAGGTCCTTAGGATTTTTTAGGAATTTTGTCTCAAGTCAAGTAAACGTCGAGAAACCAGTGACCGGCTAAGAAAATAAAGGAATGAACCACAAAAACAAATTACAAAGGCGTTTTAAGACTTAGACCAATTAACTACTAGATTCAGAACTCACACGCGGTAAACTGTTCACGCATTGGTTTACGTCATACATAAGTTTATGTATTTTACGCATCATTTGTTCCCAACCATGTCCGCTTTTAGAATTTGTCACTGCTGCTGCCAAGCACTGCATTGCACATATTTTTTGACTGATTGTAAGTTAACCAAAGTGTATCTTTGTCCACAAATTCAAATTAAAAGTTTTAATTCGTATATTCTTCTCTTATCATTGATTTATAATTGCAGGAAATTAAAAATGCCATCACAGAAACGCAAAACATATATTTAGAGATATGTCAAATTTTGGGAGTTATTGCCTATTTTCAAAGGTTATATTTCAAAACAAAAATTGACGTATTTCATCATTTTCGAGAATGTATAGAACTTTTTATATTTATAAATTTTTTAAATCAAGTTTCTAAATAAATTTTCTGTATTTAAAATTTTCATAGTTAACGGCTTATTTTTGCATAATTTCAGTAGCTTTTAAAATCTCCCTGCTAAAAATAAAATCAGAAATCAGTCTCAAAACGTCAGAAATCCTGACGTTTTGAGACTATTTTGATGTTCTGTGATGCTGCTGACTAATTCTGACTTAAATAGTTTTTATGGGCCTGACGTTTTCTAAAAAGTGACGATTTCTCACTACGTTTTATTTTTTTTGTAAAAAGGGTTCCAAGAGAGGTACCAAGGCCACTCAAACCCACCATATAACTCTATTATATTATATATTCCCTTCTTCCAATAGAAGGGTCCTTTCGAGGGTCCATCAGGTTTTATGACTTTTTAATGCAAAATAAAAAATTATTTAAATTTAAATAAATATTTTTTTAAATGTTATATTTGTAATTTATAGATTTTAACGATTCCAATGATATAAAACATTATGTAAAAACTCTAAAATTACATAATGATTATACAATAAATACTCCATTAATTAAAATTAATTCTCAAAAATTTAAAAATATTTGCAAAAAATTTTATATCGTTGTAATTGTATTAACATGTACATTACGAATATAATATTTAAAAATCATTTTTTTCAAATGCAACAATTTTTAATTTTGCAATGAAAAGCCATAAAACCATAAAAGATCCTTCTGGCCTATACTTTTCTTTTTGTCCTTTTCTAACGTACATATAATATATATGGAATCACGTTTGTAAGACAAGGACAGAAAAGAGAAGGCGTCAATGACTACGACTATACTTTTAAAGTCCCTACTTCAAATTTGTATTTATTATTTTACAGTAAGCTAGTTTCCTTACATTTAGTTATAAGAAAGCAACATATGTTGAAAACCTATTCTTACCATTGTGTTAACTCTATATATATATATATTTGAAAAAAATTAGAAATCGCTGGCTATTTCACATAAAAGTTTATTTTTTTACAACTAGATGAGCAAAAACATTCTGGTCTCTTGTAAAATAGAATATATGAATTGATCGCTCAATCAATCTCTGAGCAAATTTAATCCAGTTTTCACTAAATATAAATTTGATTTGAACCAAATATTACATCTAATTATAGTGCAGTATGCTAAAAAGAGAAATTAAAATTAGTAATTATTTAGTTGATTTGTGGAAGAATTATGTTAAATTGAATTTTAATAATATAGTAATTAATATATGCATATTAATTAATTCTTATCATTATAATTAATTATAATAGTAATGAATGTTCTAAAACGTGAGCGAAAAACCTGATAAAATTCGCTCAGAGTTTACTTGAGACAATCCGACAGTATCTTATTATTCTTGACTATTTTATTTGTATATATATTACACATATTCTTTTAAGTTCGAATTCAAATAATATTTACATACGAATTTTTTGTTTAATTAAATATTTGCTGAAGCAAATTTTATTAATTGAATACATTAATATATGATAATTGGACTACAAATGTTTTTTGATCAATATAACAATATACCTATTTTAACTTTACTTGTTAATTTTTAAAAATTATAAAATTTTTTTAAAATAATAATTATCAACTAAATATGTTGATAAAATTGAAAAAAAGTAATAAGATCTTCTATTTTCATAAAACCGTATTCTATTTTTAAGATCTCAGTTAGGTTAGTTTAGCTCAGGGGTTAGGTATTCGGTTTGCGTTCATTAGGTTGTGAGTTCGATTCCCTGCGTTTGCGAGATTTTCTTCGATAGGAGTAAATAAATATAATAAATTGTAAAAATAATAATTAAGTATGTGTAACGTAAAGATAAAAAAATGATGTGCGATAATTTATTTTTTTAATGATAAAATATTGATTTTTTTTAATTTTTAAATATTTGTAGTCAGAATTCATGAGAAGTAAGT